GGACAATGAACGTTATACCATGTGGGAGATAGATGACATAATCAAAATATCCTAATCAATGAAGTTATTGGTGAAAATGAAAAATGTGTCTTTTATTTTACATAAAGACCTCAACGGACTTTTTGGCCAACCCAATATGTCTGTGGGCAGATTCTGTGGTGAGCCATAATAGAGGGTCCCATTGGAGGGGGCAGGCTCTGCCCTCGAGTAGGGGGGACTACAGCAATTGGGTGGGACAGAAAAAGAGAGAAGAGGAAGAAAGAGTTCTGGGACCATCCAAGTCCCCCAGTGCCAACCTCCTGTGGCCCACCCTGTACCCCACAGAGAAAGACCCCAAGCTGGAGATCCGCTATCGGCACAAGAAATCACGGGAACGGGACAGCAATGAGCGAGACGGCAGTGAGCCCCGGGATGAGGGTGGAGGGCGCAAGAGGCCTACCCCGGATCCAGACCTGCAGCGCCGGGCGGGGTCAGGGACAGGGGTTGGGGCCATGCTTGCTCGGGGCTCTGCTTCGCCCCACAAATCCTCTCCACAGCCCTTGGTGGCCACACCCAGCCAGGTGAGTGGCTGTGGTGGCTGGGATATGTAAGGTGGTCCCGTCTTAGGCCCTGCTTGGCTTTTTGATTTGTGTTCCGGGAACCTTCCCTCAGCATCACCAGCAGCAGCAGCAGATCAAACGGTCAGCCCGCATGTGCGGTGAGTGTGAGGCCTGCCGGCGCACTGAGGACTGTGGCCATTGCGACTTTTGCCGGGACATGAAGAAGTTTGGGGGCCCCAACAAGATCCGCCAGAAGTGCCGGCTGCGTCAGTGCCAGCTACGGGCCCGGGTGAGCATGGGCAGAGCAGGGCAGGGTCAAATTAGGGGGCCATTGTGTTCCAAGAAGACCTGACTGAGGCTAGGATTGGTGAGCCAGGTAGGGTGGTGCCTAATTACATATAGGTAGGTGGAAAGGAGCCTGGTCTGTCCAGATGAATGGGGCGTGACCAGGAGTGCTGGGCTGGCAGGGGTGCTGAGCCCCCCCAACCTCAGGTTGACAGGGTACGGCTAGTCAGGCATGTCAGGCAGGTAGGGCATGGCCAAGCATGTCTGGCTTTCAGGGTTGGTGCATGCAGATGTGCCTGGGGAGGCAAGGTAAGGTAAATTGGTGGGGCTGGGCACCCTCCATCTACCTGGGGCTGACCTGGGCCTTCCTCCTGCTGGCACAGGAATCGTACAAGTACTTCCCGTCCTCGGTGAGTCCAGCCTTCCAGGTGGGGCAGGGCATGCGGGCAGGTTGTTCAGGGCCAGTCCTGAGATTCTGCCCTGCAGCTCTCGCCAGTGACGCCTTCAGAGTCCCTGCCAAGGCCTCGCCGACCACTGCCCACCCAACAGCAGCCGCAGCCATCACAGAAGCTGGGACGCATGCGTGAGGATGAGGGAACAGTGGCATCATCAATAGTCAAGGATCCACCTGAGGCTACGGCCACACCTGAGCCACTCTCAGATGAGGATCTACCGCTGGACCCTGACCTGTATCAGGACTTCTGTACAGCGGCCTTTGATGACCACGGCCTGGTGAGCAGGCAGAGCATCCCATGGTGGAAGGGTGGAGGTTACAGAAGCAGAGTATCCATAATGAAAAGAGAGGAGGCAGAGGGTATGGAAGGCTAATTTGGGAACTGAGTAGGCGGTGGGGTAGTCATGAGTGGGGCAAGTGCATCAGTGTATGTCTCACTTGCAGCCCTGGATGAGCGACCCGGAGGAGTCCCCATTCCTGGACCCTGCGCTGCGAAAGAGGGCAGTGAAAGTGAAGCACGTGAAGCGTCGGGAAAAGAAGTCTGAGAAGAAGGTGCTGGAGAGGGTGAAATGGGTGTGGGAAGGCAGGGGCTGAGTGGGGCAAGAGCCAGAAAGGCGTGAGATGCAGGGGGAGACAGGGGTCTGGGGCTGACTTCAACTCTGCCCTGTCCTGACCTGCCACGTCCCATAGAAGGAGGAGAGATACAAACGGCATCGACAGAAGCAGAAGCACAAGGACAAATGGAAACACCCGGAGCGAGCTGACGTCAAGGATCCTGCATCCCTACCACAGTGCCTGGGACCTGGCTGTGTGCGCCCAGCACAGCCTGGCTCCAAGTATTGCTCAGATGACTGTGGCATGAAGCTGGCAGCCAAGTGAGTCATTCTTCGAGGGTTCAAGGGAGTCAGCGAGTACAGGATAGGGCTTGACAAGATCCCTCTGTACGTCTGTCAGTTACCTGTCCACCATTCAGTTAAACAAGGGCCCACCTATCTGTCCACCTGTCCGTCCACCACTCAGTTACTCATCCACCAACCCATTTCCATTCAGTCACCTATTTTCTTACCTTTTACCATTTAGTCATCCGTTCCATTCTGCCATTGTTGGCTTACCCCCCTTAATCATCTTGTTGCCTGCCACCTTTCTACCTGCACTCAAACGACTGCTTCCTGTAGCCGCATCTACGAGATCCTCCCCCAGCGCATCCAGCAGTGGCAGCAGAGCCCCTGCATTGCTGAGGAGCACGGCAAGAAGCTCCTTGAACGCATTCGCCGTGAGCAGCAAGGTGCCCGCACCCGCCTTCAGGAAATGGAGCGCAGATTCCATGAACTTGAGGCCATCATTGCACGCGCCAAGCAGCAGGCTGTGCGAGAGGATGAGGAGGTGAGCAAGCGTGGGCATGGCAGCGCGGGACCTGGAATCTGGTTTTGCCTGGCCTCATTCTTCCCATCCCATGCAGAGCAACGAGGGTGACAGTGATGACACGGACCTGCAAATCTTCTGCGTCTCCTGTGGGCACCCCATCAACCCACGTGTTGCCTTGCGCCACATGGAGCGCTGCTATGCCAAGGTCAGGGTGTCAGCCTGAGAGGGCAGATGGTGTGGGAACATCATTGGGTCCTTGGGGAACAGATGTGCTGTCTGGGTGCTGTCTCGGGAGGGCATGCAGCACACATCCACAGTTCCCTCCATTTGTGCTCATCCTTCCAGTATGAGAGCCAGACGTCCTTTGGGTCCATGTACCCCACACGCATTGAAGGGTGAGTGTGGGTAATGCGGAGCTGGAACAGGGAGGTTAAGGCTAGGGTCCGAAGTAGAATGTTGGGGCGGGATATTGTGATGGGCAAGGATAGGTGGGCCCCCTTCCATTTCTCCCTTCACTACCCTCTTTTTACTTCAAACCCCCAGGGCCACACGACTCTTCTGTGATGTCTACAATCCTCAGAGCAAGACATACTGTAAGCGGCTCCAGGTGTTGTGTCCGGAGCACTCACGGGACCCCAAAGTAAGGTTTCCCCTCAATTCCCCACATTCTGTCACTCCTCCCTTCCTCATGGCCCCACATTTATCTCTTCCTTTCCCCCTCCCCTCCTTCCTTCCCTTTCCCTGCCTGACCACTTTCATAACTCCTACGTTCCCTGCCTCATCACCCTTTGTTCATCTCATTTTTCCTGTCTTATCACCTCCTATTCCTCCTTTCCCTGCCTCTTTAGCCTCTACTCCTCCCCTTTTCCATTCCTCTCCACTGTCCCCTGAACTCTCCATTCCTTCCCTCCTCCCTCCCTTCCTAATTCCTCATTCTTTTTCTTTTTTTCTTGGAGAGTGGGAGGGAAGGGGGAAGAGAGGAAGAGGAACACTGATGTGAAAGGGAAACATCTATCAGTTGACTCTTGTGCCCATCCATGCTAACTGGGGACCAAACTCGCAACCTAGGCTTGTCCCCTGACCAAGAGTCCAACCCACAACCCTTTGGTTTACTGGACGATGCTCCAACCAACTGATCCACTCCAGCCAGGGCCCTGTCCCCATTCTTACCCTCCTTCCTTACCACACCCCATTAATGTCCATGTCCTCAATCCCTGCAGGTGCCAGCTGATGAGGTATGCGGGTGCCCCCTCGTGCGTGATGTTTTTGAGCTCACAGGTGAATTCTGCCGCCTGCCCAAGCGCCAGTGCAACCGCCATTACTGCTGGGAGAAGTTGCGGCGAGCGGAAGTGGACTTGGAGCGTGTGCGCGTGGTAGGTTTTGATGCTGGTAGAGGCCAGGGTGAGGCGGGTCGTCCAGAGCTCCATGTCATGGCTCCTTCTGCTCCCCTGGCAGTGGTACAAGCTGGATGAGCTGTTTGAGCAGGAACGCAATGTACGCACAGCCATGACAAACCGGGCAGGATTACTGGCCCTGATGCTGCACCAAACCATCCAGCATGACCCACTCACTACCGACCTGCGCTCCAGTGCTGACCGTTGAGCCTCATTGGCTCAGACATCCTCACACCCTGCATTCCTCCATTTGTCTTTCTCCGATGGTCCCTCAGTTTCTCATTGTGCCCATCCACCATTTGACGGCCCATCTGCCTTTACCAGATGGTCTCAAAATTTCCTCCTGTCTTTGTCTAGCCTTCTGTTTCTCCACCTCCATCCTCTGTGCCCGGGTGGAATGGTGCAGTCTGCCCACCCTTGCTTCATTTTCCCCTGGTTTTGTTAATAAAATTTTGAAGAACCAAACTTTGGTCTCCAAACTTTACTTAGTTGCATCTGAATTCTCAAACCCCTGGGGGTAGAAGGGCCAGTGTATGTGTAGGCTGTGAGTACACACAGCTGGCACCTGCTAGGTGCCGGTTCCTCCCGTGGGCTGTGGGGATATGACCTGCTGCGGGAGAGCCCAGTGGTCTACATTCACCGCCTCATTTTGAGACAGTGGGTATACAGTCAGCGTTCATGCAGTGTGGCTGACTTTCCACCCCTCGTGTGAACGTTGATGTTCTCCAGACCAGAAGTGTATTCAACGATAGGCACAAGGCCCCCTCTCTTCTCACAACCCCCTCTCTTGGGGCATATATGCAGCAGGAGTCCACTGACTTTGTCCTGGGACCTCCACCCGGCCGGCCGTGGTTGTCCCGGTCCTTGGACTGGCTCGCCCACAGCGGTTGGTTGCCGCGACCTGGCCTGTTTACTTCCAGCGCGGCACCGCCCCCTTCCCCAGTTCCCGCGGAAGGAGCGGGGGGCCAGCGCGCGCCGCCAATTGTCTCCGCGCGCTCCAGCAACTGTGCGGCGGGGTGGAGAGAGCGGGACACAATAGTCCTGGGGAAGAGTTTCCGCAGGGACTGGAGAGCACTGGCGCGCCCTAGGCGAGAGGTGGGAGAGGAGGGCTCCGGCACAGCCCCAATCTTCCTCGCTCCTACACCGCGTTACTCCTTCTGGAGACCGTCTAGGCAACCGTGAACGCAGGGCCATCCCCAACCGTCCACGCCCACTTCGGTTGAGGTCGGAGAGCGCAGGCGCAAACGAGGTGGGCGGAGTGGCGAGAACTAACTGGGTGGCGAAGCGAGAAGCGCTGGGGCTGCGGGTCTCCTATAGGGACGCGAAGGTAGTTGGGCTTCAGCACGCAAGCGCGGCAGGAACCAGCGAGGGGCGCGCGCCGCTGCGGAACGCAGCACGCAGGCGCGGGATCCTCCCTATTAAGGGCAAGCGCGAACCCGGCTTTAGCGCGCAGGCGTCTCTTTAGGAGCGGAACCCTGGGGGCGGGCCCCGGATTTCCGGTTACGGGTGCAACGAACGGCCGCGGCGGCGACAGCTACCGCTTGAGCGGCTGCAGAGGAGGAAGAAGAGCAGGGCAAGGCGGGAGTCGCAGGCGGGACCCTCGTCATGGGTCCACGAACCTAGAGCTACGAAAGCTACCGGCCCGGTGCCGAGCTGGTGAGACAGTCGTGGGGGTGGAAGTGGAGAGCGCTTAGGCGGAGGATAGTGGAGAAGTGAGGCTCAGAACGCTGACGGAGAGGGCCCTCAGGCCGACGAGTGGGAGGAATGGCGGCGTCGGAATATTGAACGGGAGGAATGGGGAGAGTTAGGCGGAGGACGGAGGGGACTGGGGCTCAGAATGCTGACAGGGGAAGTGTCGGGATCCTGGGCGAGAACTTAGAGGAATGAGGGAGGATCCGAATGCTGAGGGGAGACATCGGGACCTCTCAGGTTAAGGAGAGACAAATGGGTGTTCAGAACCTGGTGGGGATAAATGAGGACCTCTCAGGCAGATGACGGAAAGAAGTGGGGGCGTTGGGATGCTGAAAGGGAGGGACGGGGCCTCTTAGAGAGAACGAGGGAAAATAGGGTGTCAAAACACTGACAGGGATGCCATGGTCCTGGGACAAGAACAGAGGAGTGGGGGGGGGGGGGTTTAGAATGCCGAGGGGAGAAATCAGGGCCTTCGGACTGACGAGACGAATGGAGGATGAGGATGTTGAGAGGAAGGAGTTAAAAGAACTTTTCAGCTGCAGAGGAGAGGAATAGGAAGGTTCCAGCCCTGAGGTTGGGGAGGAATTATGGCTCAGAACACTAACGGAGAAAATAAGGCGGGAGGACTTCAGGCTGAGGAACAGAAGGGATGAAGGGCTGTTCAGGTCGGGGGTGTCCCGGAGGGGTGGACTCTGATAGAGAACACAGAGGAAATCGAGGCAACACTGTGGTAGCCGGATAAGAGGGCATCATACAGGGAAGGAATGGGAGGGTTAAAAGTCTGAAAGAAACTGGGGACTCCTGGGTTAAGAAAGGGAGCAAAAGGGCACCAGAACACTGACGCACAGTGCTGGGACCTCAGTCTGAGGACGAGAGGAATGGGGGCCTCCTGAGCTGAGGGTGGGGAGTTTGGAGGTCTCAGGATGACAAAGGAGAGGAGTAGGGGACCGGTAAATCAAAGGCAGAGGGTATCTTCTGGGCCAAGGACAGGGAGAAATGAGGAGGAAGAATGAAAGGTTCCTAGGTTGGCAGTAGGGAGAGATGATGGGCTTTCAGGCTGAGGATGGGGAGGAATAGGGGATCTGAACACTCGGAGTGAGGAAGGAGGACCCTTGGGTTGAGGATGGGGCTACCAGGTCAAGACCATTGGGAAGTTCAAGCTCCTGGGCCCAGGTCAGGGAAGAGCTGAGGAGAGTGGGGGTTTTCTCTTCCTTATATTGGCCAGTCGCATATAGCAGGCCTCGGGTCTTGGACAAGTATTAATAGATATCAGTGGTTTTTGTGGCCTGGGGCACAACATGTTACCTCCTACAGCCTCAGTTTCTCTCATTTTCCCCTCTGTGTTGCAGGCTGCTGCTCCTTCCTTTGTCCCCCATGGCTGAGGAGTGGCTGGATTGCCCAGCCCTGGGTCCGGGCTGGAAGCGCCGTGAGGTTTTTCGCAAGTCAGGTGCCACCTGTGGACGCTCAGACACCTATTACCAGAGGTACTGGTTGGGTTGTGGACAGAGTCAGCTTGGGCTGAGCCTGGTTAGGCAGAGTGAAATCGAGGTGTGTGTTTAGACTCACGGGTGCAGCCAAACTAAAATTAGGCGTATACATTTGATCCTCATTATTTGCAGAGTCCATTTTTGCAAATTCACCTACTCACTAAAATGTGTTTGTACCCCTAAAGTCATTACTCAGCTGTGCTTTCATGATCATTCGTGGACATGCACAGAGCAGCAAAAAAATTTAAGTCGCCTGATGCACACGTTCCCAGGTATAGAACAAGGCCTTCGTATTTCAGCACTTGTACTGTAAACAAGTCCTTTTCTGGTCTACTTGGTGTCATGTTTTTTGAATTCTTATGCTGTTTGCAGTGGCCCCCAAGCGTTGTGATGAAGTGCTATCTAGTGTTGTAAGTGCAAGAAGTCTCTGATGTGCTGTAGGAGAAAATACATGTTAAATAAGATTCGTTCAGGTGTGAGTTGCAGTGCTGTTGGCTGTGTCTTCAATATCGATGAATCGAAAATGTGGTACATCTAGAAAAAGAAGAGGAAATTTGCCAATATGCACATGAGGTTGCTTTAGAAAATGCTAAAGTAGCTTGCGATGAAGCTAAAGAAAAGGTGGAAAACTGGCTAAATTTGTGGATCAATGAGATGTTGACCAATAAAAGTGTAGTGTACAGCATTATGAGGCTGAAAGCTAAGGACATGGACACTCATGTTACCCAGGTTTAGGAAAATGGCAAACCTGTCTTGTGCTTTTTGAAAGGCGATACATTGTGAAAAATGTTAAATTTGCATGCAAGGCAGGTTCTGCAGATTAGGAGTCTGTGGAAGATTTTTAAAAATACCTGCTAAGTGTTATATGGGAAAACAGGTATGTAGAGGAGTAGATTTTCAACGCTGATGAAAATGGCTTGTTTTACAGTGACATCAGCAAAGAAACCTACCGTATTTTTCAGACTTTAAGACACACACCCCCAAATTTGGGAGGAAAGGGGGTGCGTCTTATAGTGCGAATGTAGCTTGCTTGGCTCACTGTGGGGGGGGCATGGAGCGGGGTCACAGGTTATTAAATATTTTACCACATTTTTTGCTTCAAAATTTGTTTTCCTATTTTCTCCTAAAACTTAGGTGCATCTTATGGTCCAGTGTGTCTTATAGTCCTAAAATATGGTATATAAGCAGACAGGCTCCAAAGCTTCTGGCTTTACATCATTCAAAGACCAAGCAGTTAATTATTTGTGAGAAGAATATATTAAGTGGGGTCTCTTTAAAGAGAAACACACATAAAACAAGGTCACCTAGGGTCAGTTTTCAAAAATGTTGTGATCCGAGGCCCATAGGAACCCAACCTGTCGCTCCACTAGGAGCACTGGTTCTGTATTCTCTAATCCAGTGTTGAAGGTGAATTTAAAACTACCCTGAATAATGGAACTTTGACTGTAACACATAAGCATACGTCTTTATAAACAATTTACACTTAAGGATTTAAGATATTTGAAGATATATTACCGATGTACTTGTTATTAAACTTTTTATACTCTTCCTGAACTTTGTCTAACTTGTTATTTTCCTGGATGAATATAATAAAATTACAAATATAATTATATTATTCATATCTAGTTGTACATTTATTCATATTTAGTTGTACATTTATTCACATATTTGTAATGTATAAAACTGGCCAGTGTTGCTCAGTTGGTTGGAGTGTCTTCCTGTAAACTGAAAGGCTATGGATTCAGTCCCAGGTCGGGGCACATACCTGGATTGCAAGTTCAATCCCTGGTCTGGTTGGGATGCATACAGGAGGCAGCCAATTGATGTTTCTCACATTAATGTTTCTTTCTCCCTCTCCCCCTTTCCTTTCCTGTCTGTCTAAAAGTAATGGGGGAAAAACGTCCTCAGATGAGAAAATAAAAACTTTCAACATTTACAAACTTAAGTGCAATTATCAAGAACTGTAAAAGATTAAGAGATTTTACCACAGCAGTATCCAGAATGATGTCATTTTTGTGCTCGTTCCCTGAGTATCAGTTCCCACATAGTGACATGAAGAGGACTACCTAGCACCTGTATATGTACTGGGTTATGTTGTAGGAAAGGAACCTTGAGGGCCCCCCTCTTTTATATTAAATTTACTAGGATGACATTGGTTCATTTGGCCATATAGGTTTCAAGTGTACATTTCCATGACACATGATCCACATATTGCATTGTGTGCCTACCACCCAAAGTCAAATCGTCTTCCGTCACTGTATATTTGGAATCCAGTCTTTTACAGTGTTGAGCACCGTAAGGGCGTCTTCCCTTTGCTCTAAAAGAAGACCCTTTGTCTTATCTTCCAAGGTTTTTTGCTGTACAAACATCCTTGAAGAGATAGTTAATTGCAAAGGACAGTTCATGCCTTTTAGGACTTGGAGAAGTACAAGAGACCTGTTGAGTATTGTGTCCTAACATCAGTTGCTTAACACTTATTTTTTATGTAGTATTTATTTGTTTACACATCTATTTGTGTATTTATATGTACATTTTTATATGTATCTTTTTAAACATGTTTTTACCTAAGTTTTCTTATTTGTGTATTTAGTATGTAATGCCAATATATTTATGTGTTGTTTAATGTGTTTCTGTTCCTATTTGTGTTTATTTCACTTATATAGAATACCACTAGTAGTATATGTTATAAATATACACACTCATTTGCATTTATATTACTTATTAATGTTTGTATACCTGTTGGTATTTATACACCCTTAATATTTTTTTTATTCGGGGTTAGTTGGGGTAGGGCCTGGTCAGGCAGGTCCCAGGCTACCTTTTATATTCCACCAGCCCTGCAGGCCTGTTCACCTCCTGGTGGGAAGGTTGTCTGGGAGGAGCAGTAGCGGCTCCACCTGCCTACCAACTCTTCCTGGCCCACTCCCAGCCCCACAGGAGACAGGATCCGAAGCAAGGTTGAGCTGACCCGATACCTGGGCCCTGCATGTGACCTCACCCTCTTCGACTTCAAGCAAGGCATCCTGTGCTATCCATCCCCCAAGGTACTACACGGTGTGGTGTACCCAGATGCAGGGGTGGCTAATACCCACAGGATATGTACTTACTGACCTGTAGTCTTCCTCCCCTTGCTCTCATCTCCAGGCCCCTCCTGAGACTGTCCCTAGCAGGAAGCGGAAGAAGCCTTCGAAGCCAGTTAAAGCTGGGAAATGTCAGGTTGGACCCCAGAGAGTTGAGGTCAGGAAGGAGGCCCCAAGGGATGAGACCAAGGCTGATGCTAACACAGCCCCAGCTTCGCTCCCTGCACCTGGGTGAGTTTTGGCCTAAAGTGAACCAAGTGGGAGATGGTTGTGGTTGGCAGTGCACTCAGGGCCCCACACTCATGTCTCCTATCCCAGGTGTTGTGAGAACTGTGGAATCAGCTTCTCAGGGGATGGTACTCGAAGGCAGCGGCTCAAGACATTGTGCAAGGACTGCCGAGGTGAGTGGCCCCGAGGATGCTGGGAAATAGGAGCTGGAACAGGTCCAGTGTTGGGCTGGAGGTTGAATGGTGGATGTCGGATGTTGGGGCAGAGGCATTGGATAAGGTCAGATATCTGATGCTCCCTTTCCACTTCTCTTCTCACGTCTCCTTCCCCTCAGCTCAAAGAATTGCTTTCAACCGGGAGCAGAGGATGTTTAAGGTAAGCACACTCTGCCTCCTTCTCACAAGTGTATGGTGGGAGCAAGATATGATGGGAGCTGTCGGAGTGTCTGAAGGAATGGTGATGGATCCCGAGGGTGTTAAGAGGCATTCTGTAGGGAACTAGCTACAGTCAGCAGGCTGTAATGGGAGGTAAGGAGGATTTAGTAGACACAGTGATGAGGTTAACAGGAACAGTAGACATTGTGGTATCCTCAGTGATGGTGGCTAATCAGTAATTATCAGATATAGTGATGAGGCAAATGGGGGACCAGCAGACTTGGTGATGGGAACTAATTAGGGTCAGCAGACACTTGAGGGGCAGTGCTCCTGGAGTCACTCTGCTCGGGCATGTGACCTTGCCCCACCCATTCCTGGCAGCGTGTGGGCTGTGGAGAGTGTTCAGCCTGCCGGGTAACTGAGGACTGCGGGGCCTGCTCCACCTGCCTTCTGCAGCTGCCCCATGATGTGGCCTCGGGGCTGTTTTGCAAGTGTGAGCGGAGACGGTGCCTGCGGATTGTGGAAAAGGTGAGTGGGGCATATGGGGTGGGCCCAAGGCTAACCCTACCCCCTGGCCCTCATAGCCCTGGCCCTGTGCATCATGCCTCTGGCCCCCCCACAGAGCCGAGGGTGTGGAGTATGCCGGGGCTGTCAAACCCGAGAGGACTGTGGCCATTGCCGAGTCTGCCTTCGCCCTCCCCGCCCTGGTCTCAGGCGCCAGTGGAGGTGCGTCCAGCGGCGCTGCCTACGAGTGAGTCAGGCTGGAGGGGCCGGTGCTGGTGGGGCCAGGGCTGGGGCAGAGCTCGTTCTTCTATTAAACTTGCTGCTGCTGCTTTTCAACTGGCCTTGCCCACCTCATGTCTTCTTTTCTCCTTCACCCCACTCTCACCTCCCTGGCCCCACCTACCTGCTCCTGTCTGCCAGCATCTTGCCCACCGCCTGCGTCGCCACCATCAGCGATGTCAACGACGCCCTCCCCTAGCTGTGGCTCCCCCTGCTGTGAGTGCCCCATCCCACACTCTGCCTGTCTGTCCCATGCATGCTTTCTGCATTCCTGGGTGGGGAGGGCCCTGTACCTGCCTGGTGCCACCAAGCTTAAACTAAACTACCTTTTGGGCTTTCTCTTAGGGTAAGAAACGTAGCCGCCGCAGGGGAGGCTGCGACTCCAAGAAGACCTCCCGGCGGCGCCCCCGAACCCAGCCACTGCCTCCGCTTCCCCCACCGCAGCCTCCCGAGTCCCCAGAGCTGGTGAGGCCCTGGAGGGCAGGGGGAAGGCACAACCCTAATCTTACCCAGTACCTACCCTGACCCCACCCCATTTGCCTCTGCAGCGCCCCAGAGCCCTGGGCCCCTCGCCACCTGCCGAGTTCATCTATTACTGTGTAGACGAGGACGAGCTAGTGAGTGGCCCCGTCATATCTGGACAAGCCTAGACTCTCCCAGGGCCCTTGGTTAAGCCCAAAAAAGCACATGCTGCACTGGGCCTAATAGGGGAATAGCAAGGCACAGTAGTGGGCGCTAGTAGGGGATGAGCAGACAGTTGGGGAGGGACTAATATGGGACCAACAGGTGCACTGATAGTACTTAATGTCAGATGAAGCGACATTCTGATCAGGCTACAAGAGGAAAAGCTGACACAGTGACCAGAGTTCACATAGGACGAGTAGATGTAGCAGGTACGGTGATAGGAGCTAATAGAGAGTCAGCACAATCCTTCTGGAGGTGGGAAGGTCAAAGATACTGCTTTGGTAGCTAGTGGGGGCTAGCAAATAGAGTGATAGGTACTGTGTTGGAGCAGTGACAATGCTAATGGTACGAGAGCTACCTGGTACAAGGTAGTGCCTGATGTAGGGCTAACGACACTGAAGTGTGACTAACGGGAGTCAGGCTAAGACTGCAACCAGTTCCTTCCCACGGGGCTAGTGGAGAAGCAACCAGAATAGTACTGTAATTGTCCTAGTGACAGCACCCGTGTACTCCCTTCCCTGTCCCCCAGCAGCCTTACACAAACCGCCGGCAGAACCGAAAGTGTGGGGCCTGTGCAGCCTGCCTGCGGCGGATGGACTGTGGCCACTGTGACTTCTGCTGTGACAAGCCCAAGTTTGGTGGCAGCAACCAGAAACGCCAGAAGTGTCGTTGGCGCCAGTGCCTGCAGTTTGCCATGGTAGGTGGGGCAGGAAGGGTCAGATAGGCAAAATAGGTTGGGCCAGGTCCCCCAGTGCCTGAGAGTGATGGACAGACCTAGTATGTAAGTGAGTGAGGCCAGAGGGGTCCTGCAGCTTCAGAGGAGTGCATGGGGCAATGGGTTTGGTCAGGGATTAGCAGATTTTGTGCCAAAGTAAATGAAAAATCTGGGTGGCATTGGCATTGGTAACAGGAGACTAGGAGGCTCATATGAGGGGTTCATATTTGAGCAGATTTTGTGCCACTACTAATGGGGGGATCATCAGGTATGTTGGTCAGGTCAGGATGGTATGGTCCGGTCATTGCATCAGGTGGCCATCACACCCCACCTTTCCTCACAGAAGCGCCTGCTGCCAAGTGTCTGGGCAGGGTCCGAGGATGGGGCAGGGTCGCCCCCACCTTACCCTCGTCGAAAGAGGCCTGGATCTACTCGACGGCCCCATCTGGGCCATACCCTGAAGCACCCCTTGGGCACTCCCACAGCCCGACGAGAACATGCCCAGACTCCAATGAAGCAGGAGGCAGGCAGTGGCTTTGTGTTGCCCCCACCTGGCACTGACCTTGTGTTCTTACGGGAGGGTGCCAGCAGTCCTGTACAGGTGCCTGGCCCTACCCCAGCTTCCACACAACCCCGCTTGCAGGTGAGGGCTCCACCTTATCCTGCCCGACCCAACCCTATCCAGCCTTGTTCCAGGAAGCTGGGACCAAGTCTGCTGCCATCCTCCTTCATACAGGGGGCCCAGAGCCCTGGCCTGAGTTGGGTTGTGGCCTTACCCCAGGTGAAGCAAGAGAAGGCGGATGCCCACGAAGACTGGACACCGGGCACAGCCATCCTGACTCCTGTATTGCTGCCTGGCTGCCCCAGCAAGGTGGGGGTCAGTGATGATGGGTGATCTGTGAGCAGAGTGATGGTGAGCCGTGATGATGGTTCTTTGTGCAGAGCAATAGGTGTGCTGATTGCAGCTTCTTTGCAAAATTACCCTGCCTTCCCCAGGCAACTAGCTTTGCCTGCTTTGCTGCCCAGCTAACCGAAAAATGGAAATCTATGAGGAATGGGATGGTTTTTCTGTGCTGAAGTGTGATAAAAGTGGGATTTATCAGCACAGTGACAGGTTGGCCTGTAGAGACTCTTTCCTCAGGCCAACCTGCCTTTCTGACTGTTGCTCATTTCCCACCTCTCCCAGGCAGTAGACCAAGGCCTACCACGTGTGAAGCAAGAGCCACCTGACCCTGAGGAGGACAAGGAGAAGAGCAAGGATGACTCAGCCTCTGATTCAGCCCCAGAGGAGGCAGGAGGGGCTGGCACGCCAGTGGTCAGTGCTGGGGGACACTGTACCCTGCCCTGACCCAGCTTAACCTCACCAGCCATGTTGACCCATGATGTTAATTCTTCCCCAGATCACGGAGATTTTCAGCCTGGGTGGAACCCGCCTCCGGGATACAGCAGTCTGGTTGCCAAGGTGTGCCCCGCATAGTGAGGGGTGGGGATGGGGTGGGTGCCGGTCAGATGTGGGCCTTCAGTTTTGAAAGTACAGCCAATATTTTGCCACGTGCAGTGGGAGGTAAAGGGCCCACACCACTGCACAGAGCATGATCAGTGAGGAGGTATCTAGGAGCAAACCTAGACCCCTAGAGATTTCCTGAGGTCCAGGTCAGGGCTTGCCTGGGGGCAGGGAGTGGGGTGTCAGCCAGGAGAACTTGGTGCCCTGTGATGAGATTAGAAAGTAAAAAAGGCAGGAAAGCCTGGTTCTTAAGAAAAACTAGCAGGCGTCAGACTTTAAATTTTTTCTCATAGAATCATCATTTGGGGTCTTCAATGCCTTCAGCATCTCCTAGAGATGACCAGGTGGGCTGGGCAGTGGCAAGTGGGCAGGAGATCTGGCTCCACATGCTATTGTGTGATCTTGAACTAGTTCTGCACCTCCTGGAGCATCCTCTGTGGTGGGGGTTAGGCTGTTTTTCTTGAGTCTTTCCTGGGCCTGTTGAGGTTATTAACAGTTTCAGCTGCTATGCAGAAATGTCCCTGCAGGCCTGGCAAGAGGACAAATGATAGGCGCCTTTAAAGACTGGGGTAGTGGGTGAGGACAGGGGAATGCTGCTTCCTGCAGAATGTTAACAGGCTCTGCACAGAGCCCTAGACACAGGCAACATAAACAATTGGCCTCAGCACCTGGATTCCTTTGTTCTACAAACTAGTTTCTATAGGCTAGAAACCCCTCTGTCTGCACTTGGGCAATTACAGAGCTACTGATTTAGTCCCTGCTGCATACACTGCAGTGTGGGAGATACAGCAGTGAATACAGTGATTGTGGGAGGCTTATCCTTCAGGATTCCTGCCCTCAGGAAGCTTAAAATCTAACTGGGGAAACAGTTTCCCTGTGCATTACATGTAACAGAGAAGGTAATGATGTTCTAAGTTAGTAATGGAAGATTTTAGAGAGGAGAGAAGGAATAATTAAGGGGAAGTGGATGGCCAACACAGACAGTAGAAAAAGGTTTTGTGATGCTCCATTTTGTACCTAGCAAACCTCATTCAACATACAGACCTGCTCCCTCTTCTCTAGGTCCAAGGGCCTTAAAAAACCTGGAACTAGAAAGCAGTAGACTGGAGGCTTCCGCAGACTGTAGGATTCAAGGTGACATTTACAGACCGGCTTTATGAGAGACAACACTGATCCATCTACTCAGAGGCTGGACCATAGAGCGATTGCCAGGGCTTGTGTAGAAGTCAGTAGGAACTGGAAAAACCCACCACCAAACCAGAGGAGCAGGCCCGTTCAGTCCTTTGAGCTTATAGAGGAAGCAAGAAAGGAGGAGAGAGTAGAAAGTTGGTGCATCTGCTCCAACTGGTGCAAATCCCAGAAGCCTGAGAGTGATAAGTTTGGATATTAGGGGTGGAGGAGCTGGGGTTGGGGATGGGGGATAGAATTAGAGCCACCGTAAAACAACCTGAACAAGCCATCTTCATAAATAATACTAAGTGGCTTCTGGGTGAGACCTGGCAGTGTCTCTAAACATTTCCTCAGGGAAACAGCGATTGAAAATGTAATGTGAATAAATAAGGAAAGGAACTGCAATTTGGTGAGTTCTTCCTTATGGACCCAGTTTATTTCTCAGAACGGTCTTTTTAGGAAGACATTGTTTTTGCCCATTTTTGCAGATGGAAAAACAGACTCAGAAATTAAATAACTTGTCCGATGTCAAACAGTTAGTATTGATAGAGCCTAGCATCAAACCAGGTTGTAAAATCCTTGTTCTTTAAGCCACTAACCTGTAAACTGTAATCCCGAGTTCAATGATGTAATAATATAGTAACAAGTTTCCAGCGACTCCGAAAACAAGGATTAATTTGAGCATTATAACAAATCCCTTACACTGCTGTCTGGCGTGGTTTAGGGAGTGCGGAGGCTGTGTGGATGTGGTCACCTTGTCAGGGCACCTGTGCACACGGGACTGCGTTTCCAGGCCTCTGGTGTTGGGTAGGGTTCCTCAAACCCCAAAGGGCACCCTTCCCCACTGGTTGCTGTCCATTTGGTTTGCTTCCTTTACTCCTGCTCCTCAGCCAAAGTAGTCTTTTGAAGTAAAACTCAAGCCTGGCTCATCTTTCTAGACAACTTGCATCCCCTGCCCCTTGACATTTGTGCTTGGTTTCTGTTCTCAGCCTCTGTCTTCCAGGAGCCTGAGTCCCCTGTCAAAGGCCAGTGTTGGCTTAGCCCTGCCTCACTTTCCAATACTTTGCATAATGCTAAACGTTATTAGACATGTGGTTTATTACCTACCAGCTTTATAGGGCTGGGACTGAGTGTGTGCCCCCTTAACTTTTGTATCTTATGTCCCTCCCTCGCCTTATTCTAGTCCCAGCCCTGCAGCTTTAGATAATTCACATGTAGATTAACCATTCCCCTACCTTAACTCTTGAGTCCTCTGCCCTTTCCTTTCCCTGTACCTACCTACTTCAGCCAGAGCCCACTGGATAATTTTCTGCTATTTTGTTCTTCCCAGTATCCAACCACCCAACCCTAGTATTCTGGTAATTTTGGCAATGATGTCCTAAGTGAAATTATTTGATTGGTATTCTGACTGATGAGATAAAGAGTCTGGTTACCATGTGTATCAGGGTACAATTAGAAAAGCAGCACCACTAATATAAAGATTTTATATATATGTATGTATGTATATTTATATATATGTATATATGTATATTGTTCTACGGGATTTATTATAGGGATTTCACTATATGCAATTGTGGGAGCTGGTTAAACAGTCTCTGTAAGGCTGTCATTTTCTCATCTAATGTTGGAGCTTGAAGTCTGTAGGGCAGGCAGTTGGGAAGGGAACATGGATATAAAGTGTGGGAGACTGAGGACACATTGGCACCCACAAGCAGAAGCTGGACCCCCCCTCAGATGGCCTGGAGCCCATGTCACTTGTCTCACCACCTCCAACTTCGATGATGTGGGTGTCCTGCAGAAGAAGCTGGTGCCTTTCACCAGAGTTAAATATGCATCTGGCCTAAGAATTTGAGAAGCTGAAGGAAGATCCTGGGGAAGGTGGGGCAACTGCAGACCGGGCTGCTGACCCACACCTAGAAGGTGAGCCAGCAGATAAATGACAACGTGTGAACTGCAGCAGTGCCTGGTGTCCCTACTCCACACTTCAAAGTGTAAAACCAACATTCTACTGCTTCACTTCTGCCCTCCAGTTAGAACGTAAAATGTTTCTTGTGGCTCATCCTAACTGGAAGCATACAGGGAAGGGAGTTCTGGGAAACATAGGACTAGTCAAGGTGACACATCACAAAGCCACCCTGCATGAATCAGCTCCCAAAGGGTCTCACTACTCACCTGAGGATAATTTGCTAAAGCTACAATTGAAAGTGGAAGACCATGGATTTCATGGTGACCCCAGCAAGTACAGTGGAGCCCACCCAGTAAAAATGCAGGTCTCAGCTCTCTGTCATGCAAGTATTGAAAACTGGCCTGTCGTAGGCTCTAAACTTAATACTGGGGTTCAGGAATGAGAACGATACAGTCCATGCAATTTTATTGAATACATCAATATGTATTAGAAATGGTGAATGGATTTCCAACTTTAATGGAATTTAATGGTGAAAATATAGAATTCAGGAAACAATCAGGAGGACAGCCCTTGTGTGGACCTTGTTGGGGCATAATAGGAATTGGAAATAATATAGTTTCTGTCTCTAAGCTGTTTAATTTTAAAATTATTTTTAAATGATTTTTATTGTCCCATTTACTGATTCATACATTCAGTGTTTACTTTGGGAATGTCTTGATGACGTTAACAGTGTTGACTGCCTCTGAGAAAGTGGAGTAGTGGGAGGGAAGATAAAGGTCAGGTTTTGTCCAAGGACTTTGGGCAAATCATTTTTTTAGGCCTCCATGGGGTTTTGGTTGAAGGCCAAGGCTTACCTTACCAAGTGACAAGCCTGGCTCCTCCACCCTCTGAAGAAGCCCGCCAGGGGCATGGGAACCATGGTTGTCTCACCTGGGCTCAGGAAACACTGCCCTCCATCCCTGGCCTGGGTGGTCCAGGGCCGTGGCTTCAGCCGAGCCTAAAGGAAATGGACTCCCTTGCGTTACATAGTAGTGAAACCAGGCAACACTGAACCAGAGCTAAATTGCGGGGCTTGCCCAGGTTGAGGGTGCAGCACGACAAAGCTCTGGACCAACACTGGGGACATTCAAGGGCAGCCAGGTGCCTTCCAGGGGCAGCTTCCACTGTTGCCGAAACCCATTTTGACGGGACCCTCTGGGTTGCACAACTTCAGGGGTGCCCTATGGGTGTCCCTGAATCTCAGTGGCTTTTCCCAAACACCAGGGCCTTGCTGAGGGCATTTTCATTACCTCCCTTCCCTGAGTGTGGTGTCTGGGGTGTTCCACCCAGACCAGCTGGTGGGCCAGGTGACTGTCGGACTTCAAGATCAAGGAACTGGCTGGCCCTCAGGACTCCGTCCAGGAAACCAAGACGACCATCTAATTTCTTTGCTTCAGGCTACATAAACTCTTAGCAGTAAATGAAAGTGAGCATTTTACTGAACTGCAATGGAAAGAAGCATTATATGAGAAAAAAAGACAATTATTTAAAAGATTATTAAGAGAGAAGAAACTATTTTGTGGCTGAAAAGCTAAACCAACATTTCAGGAAATCTAAATCTAGAAACGTACCATATACAAAATCTGAAGTGGGCGGATTACAAATGATTAAGGAACACTAATATACGTGAATTGTGACCTTATGATGGTATGCACAGCAGTTGTACTTCAGTTATTGTTACACGACAGTGACTGACTAGGTAGTGGTGTTTTCTGTGCTCTATACTTACAACCGCTTAAGAGAGGGGCAAAGTGTGATTCTTTATTGGCCTCAAGGTATTAACTGCCGCTTTGCTGTTGGCTGGAATTACAGCAGTGGTCTCCATCTGTGCTGAGGGACCCTCTAAGGTTCCATATCTGGGATCCGGATTCTCAGATATCCGGAGCCTATCTGCACTCCTGACCCACGTGTCCCGTCCTAGGTCCACCGTGGTCCTTGACTCAAACTGCTGGTTTCTGTTGTGCCCGACCATCGGTATCCCTGTACAGCCATCCTGTCTGTCTGCCCTCCCTACCCTGGAGTGTCCCGAGTCTGAGCCCTGGTTTCTGCCCAGTGCAGTACGATTTTATTAGTAAGATTCATCGTTACTGGTGGGAGAGGCTGACAAGGCAGTTAGGCTCTCTCTCAGCTTTGTCTTAGCTGTAAAATGAGGATAATACCTGCTGTTCCATTAACTTATAAGGTATTTGTGAGGCTCAAACATTTTGTGTGAAAGTACCTTGCAGATTACTGTAAAGAACCAAAACACGTAGGGTGGTTTTGTGATCGTTTACATTACCAAGGTTAACCTAGACATGGTCACAAAATTTAATAACCTTCCCACAAAATGCTTTTTAGACTGATTTCAGGATCTAAAAAGCAAAGTAAAATGGAGTGTTATTAGATCTTAAACTTCACTTCAGGTAAAGGAGGCATTTTTCTGCTATTCTGATGAACCCTAGAGGAAGAGGGCGAGGTCGGCAGGAGGCCTGAGCCTGAGCTGAGAGAAAAGCGGCGGCCTCCCTGAGTCCCAGAGGAAGTCGCAACTGCCGCATTCGTGGTCACCATGGTGACGGGACCAACTTCCGCCCCGCCCGCTCCTTCCCCGCGAGGCGCACTATGACAACCAGACTCCTGCGTTGCGGAAGCTAGTACCTAAGTTACTACGGTTAGGGAATCGCGGCGGCGGGTACCACCGCTGCTCCGAGGGGGCTCGAAAATGTACAGCCAGCGGTTTGGTATCCTACAGCGGGAGATTAAGGGCCCCACTCCCAAAGCAGTGATTGTGGTAAGCACGGGATGTGGTGGGAGGGTGGAGGACCTGTGCAAGACCGTGCCACTTTCTGCATCTTCCCGCACTCCGGGCCCAGTCGAGCGAACCAGACTTCCAGCTGGGGCTCTCTCAAGGGGAGTATGTGCCTGATGCATTGGAGATTAATTATGAAAGGAAGGATAAGGTCCCTTCCGTACTCCATCTTCCCCCATCCCCTCACAGCCTCCCTCTCCCCAGCCCCCGTGTCAGTTATAATACTTAAGTTCTGTGTTTGGAGAATAACTACTTGGGATCTTGAGGGTTTTCAGTCTCCAAGACACCCTAAGGAGGTTGTCCCTTGCGATGTGGTGTGTATGTCACCAAAAGGGGCACTGGGCCAGGCGGCAGGAAATCAGATCTGGGCTGGTGGTGATTCAGCTGTATGATCTTGGGTTGATCTTGCAGCCCTAGGAAAATTGTCTGTGGGAGGGGTGTTGGCCTGTGAGGGATTGTGAGTGGTTATGGAGCCCTTTCTGTGTGAACTCAACAGTAACAGAAGTGTCCCTGCAGGCCTGAATGGCAAAAGGACTGTTTGTTGTCTGGAAGGCTGGGATGGTCACAGGCGGCTGGGGGAATGCTGCCTGCTGCAGAATTTGATGGATCCTGCACAGAACCCCAGGCACAGGGCCATGCACCTGTATTTCAACAGGCTAGAAAACTTCTGTGTGTAATTAGGCAACTGTAAGGGTATTATTGCCTATATCTGCTGTGTGCAGCACCAGTGGGAGATACAGGTGTGAATACAGGTGTGAATACAGTGACTCTGGGACATTTACCCTTCAATAGAAGTCTGTTCTCTGCATTTTAGTTGCTTGTTATCTAATTGCAGAAACAACTTGCTCATGAATAAAAATCACTAAAGGTTAACAGTAGGTAATGACTAACATGCTATAGTCTGTGATGGCCCTTTATGGAAGAAAGATCAGGGATAATGAAGGATACAGTTTTATGTTCCATGGTGCACATAGCAACTCTCAGTCAATTTATTTAATTTTAAAAAAGATTTTACTTTATTTTTAGAGAGAGAAGAAGGAGGGAAACATCAATCAGTTGCCTCTCGTATGCCCCCTGCTAGGGACTGAACCCACAACCCAGGCATGTGCTCTGACAGGGAATCCAACTAGTAACCTTCACTTTGTAGAATGACACCCAGCCAACTGAGCCACACTGGTCAGGGCAATTCTCAGTCAATTTACAGACCTGCTCCCTCTCTTCTAGGTCCAAGAACTGTAGGATTAGGTCTGGAAATCAGTAAACTGGAGTTTTCTACAGACTGTAGGATTCAAGGTAATGATTACAGACAGATTTCATGAGGGACAGAAACTTACCTATTTTGGGTTCAGTATGCGAACACAGAGCTCAGGGCTGGTGCCATTCATTACTTGTGTTGGAAACCAGTAAGGATTTCTATTCCACCAAATTATGACCAAACCAGAGAAGCAGGCCTATTCAGTGCTTTAAGCTTAGAGAAACATAAAAAGGAGAAGGGCAGAGTCAGAGCATCTCAGGTGTCAGAGTGTGGTAAGTGTAGATGTTAGAGGTTGAGGAGTTGTGGTGGGAGAAGAATAAAAGCCACCAGAGCTGAGACTTGGATGCTAGACAACTCCTCCAGGAAAAAGCAATAAAAGATGTAATGTCTGAAGTAATAGAGAAGTGACATGAGCCACAGTGTTTGACGAGTGCCTCCTAGGTACCCAGTTTCTCACTTCTCAGAATAGTTTTTTTAGGAGGACGTTTATTTTGATCATGGGCAGAGAGGTAGAGCCCAAAATCAAACCTAGGATATAAAACATTGTTCTTTGAGACATTAAATTGTAAATTGTAATACTAGGAACTATAATGTGAGCTGTTACAGTAATAAAAGCCTTCAGTGACCTTGCAAATACAAGGTAGTTACAGAATTCTTTACTCTCTTGCCTTTAGCACAGTTTAGAGTCCAATGTCCACACATGGCTTTTGAGCACTTAAAATATGCCTAGAGTCACATGTTGAGATGATCGTATTTTGGATATACTGGTTAAATAAAATACATTATTAAAATTAATTTCCCCTGTTTCTTTTCACTTTTAATTTTATTATTTAATTATTGTTTATATTTAATATTGTTTTATATTAGTTTCAGGTGTCTTTTTACTTTTTAAAATGCATCTACTAGAAAATGTGAAGTTACAGATGTTTTACATTATATTTCCATTAAACAGTGCTGGTTTTGACTTAAGACAAGACTGTGCATGGATTGGCATCTTCTTGTTAGAGAACTCCAGATCATACCTCATTCATCCAGAGACTGCGTCCTTCCTGACCACAGACGCCTGCATGCCCCAAGCTTAAAGGGTTTCCTGATCCCCGGCTACTGCTCAGGCTGTTTGTCACCACCACCCTCTTACCCCATCCCCTCTTGGTCAAAATGTACCTCAGAGCCTGTTTTTTTGTGGGTTTTTTTTTTAATATTTTATGTATTCACTCCTAGAGAGAGGGGAAGGGAGGGGTAAAGAGAGGGAGAGAAACATCAGTGTGTGAGAGAAACATTGAACAGTTGCCTCTTGCACACCCCCAACTGGGGACCTGGCCTGCAACCTGATTGGGAATCCAACTGGCAACATTTCAGTTCACAGGCCAGCACTCAGCCCACTGAGCCACACCAGCCAGGGCAGAGTCTGGTTCTTGACCTGATGACTCAAAACCATTGATTTCTAATGACATTAGTGCTTGGTTCCTGTTCTTAGTCTGTTAGTCTACTGGGAGCCTCAGTTCCTATGTGTATCCCACCCAAGGTGCAGTCTCGACCCTGCTCTGATTTGGTATTACTGAATCTGCATTTGTAAAACATTGTACGGCCCTGCGTGGTGTGGCTCAGTGGTTGGGCATCATTCCACAAACCAAAAGGTTGCTGGTTTGATTCCTGGTCAGGGCACATGCCTGGGTTGCAGGTTCAGTCCCTGGTTGGGGTGTGTATGAGAGGCAGCTGAATGATTCTCTCAGGTCAAAATTTCTCACCCTCTCTCCCTCCCTTCCCCTCTCTGAAAATAAATAAAATCTTTTAAAAATGTTATACATTGTTACATAACAGTAATTTTTTAACTGGCTCCAGACTCTAAATAACCCTGATATGGATTAGCTCCTTCCCATGACATAACCCCAAATATCATCTTCTGTCTTCAACATACCTCTCCCTTGCTTTATCTTTTCAGCTAAATCTAGGTATCTGCATGTGTACTCTGCCCCTGAATCTGTTCATCAGGCTGTCTCCAGATGCTGATTTTCTTTCCCCAGGAGACTCCTTTACCAAGACCCAACCCCATATTTTGATAATTCTGATAGTGATGTTCTTCTAAGTGTGAGTGATCAGATTGACTCTCTGCCCTGAGTGGAGAGTTCTGTGAGTGTCAATCAGCCCCTCAGAGCCTCACCGCTCACATGAGGTTGACTTGATAAAACTGGCTGGAGAGACAAAGCTCAAGACCATGGATTTAATGGTGGCTCTAGGGGAAGCAGAGATTGCATCGAGCCCACCCAGACACATTGTCTTTCCTTTCATTCAGACTGAGAACCTGATAGCGGTAGGTATTATGTTCAATGCTAGGAATACAGAAATGAAAAAGATAGAGTCCATGTGATTTTATTAAATGTATCACTATATATTCAAAATGGTGTATGCATTTCCAACTTTTGAGTGGATATTTGTAAAAAATGAACATATTTATAGAAATTCAACTTCTCCAAAATGCCAGGGGCACAGCCCTTGCATTAAACTTCTGGCACCATAGAAATAGCAATGAAGTTCTACCACTAGTTTTACTTTCCTTTTTTACTTTTCCTTCTTCCATCCCTCCCTTTTCTTCCTCCTCACAACTCATTTAATATATATAGTTGACCCTTGAACAACACAGGTTTGAATTGCACAGGTCCTCTCATACATAGATTTTTTTCAGCAAATACCTGCATTATTTTTTATTCAGTTGGGAGTCAGAGGATGTAGAGAGCCAATGGTATGCATTAATCTACATTATCTTAAATAGGGGACTAGCATTCAAAGATTTGGGTATTGGGAGGGTGGGCCCTGGAACCAATTCCTTGTGGATACTGAAAAACTTAAATTTGGGGCAGTCAAGCTATATGTGGATTTTTGACCATGTAGGGGCATGTGCCCCTAATCCCTAATTGTTCAAGGGCCAACTGTACTTAGATAGTAGCCTCTTTTAATTGAAAGTGTTTTGATGGTGGTAGCTATGTTGTCTGCCCCTGAAAATCAGTGGGATACTGAATGGCAAGATCAAGGTGAGGAATTGGAAAACCTCTAATTCTTGTTCTATTCAGGTCTGTTCCAGTTATTTGAAGCGCCTTGGGCAAATCATTTAATGTCTGCGGTTTGACCAAATAATCTCTAGACTTGCATTCAAATATTTTACTTTATAATCCCATGACCTTTTACTCAGACAGAACATGAGAAAGATTTCAGACTGATTTCACAAACTTTTAGATACAGACTCAAAGAATCAAGCAAGTTACACCTTAGCCACTTAAACTTTGCAGTTGTAACAGGGTGTATTCGTTTTATTATTTTTTCTTTTTTTATCGTATTTTTTTCCACTGGCATTTAGCCCCTTTATAACCCTGTCCCTTGTATTAGTTTTATATACCAAATTTTATTTAGTATGAATATTAATGGAGGTCATAATTAATTGAAAAGATGCCATTGGCCTTGCCTGGTGTGGCTCAGTGGATTGAGTGACAACCTGCGAACCAAAAAATTGCCGGTTTGATTCCCAGTCAGGGCACATGCCTGGGTTGCAGGCCAGGTCCCCAGTTGGGGGCATGCGAGAGGCAACCAGTTGATGTCTCTCACTCACTAATGCTTCTTTCCCTTTCTCCTTCTCTTCCCCTCTCTAAAAGTTAATAAATAAAATCTTAAAAACATATGTGATTGATTTTGGATCTATCAAAAGTGATGGTTGTTATTTGTTTTCAGAGAGCCAAGCCTCCCAAAGGCCATAGAGTTGAGCAGCATCTTGAAAGAATCCGACGCAACTATCAGAAACATCAGGCTGTTTTGGATTCCATTAAGTCAATAGAGCGGGATCGCTCGAAAGTTGACTGGTACCAGCAGAATGACCGCAAATTTGTGAAGAGTCTTGTGAAAGCAAGAGTCAAGGATGCCATGCAAGGGTTTATCATCAACACTGAAGAAAGACGAAATAAGTAAGGCTTACAAACCCGATGGCCAAGACTCACGCAATAGCCCTAAAACCACAACCTGAGATCAACCAATCAAAAAAAATCAAGTGAATTCTATAGTGAGAATCATGGCCAAGATATTCATATTCCTGCCAAGTCAATAATTATTGCTTATATTTTCACTTGTAATAGCCTACGTTATCATGATAGCAAAAGAATAACTGCTTTATATTTTGTTACTTTAATTCACATCTTTTGTTGAAGGTGCACATTGCAGATCTCATCCGTGTGGGATCAGATAGAACACGGCCCAGATCAGTGTCTTCATCGCTTGAAATGGCAGCCAGTTTTCTTTTATGGAAGACCGCATTGGTCTTTTTCTTCTTCCAAAACTTATAGACATGAACTTCTGAAATCAAATTTAATATAATAAAAATCAGTAAAACGGTACATGTGGCATCACAGTTTTTTCTTTGTTTATCATTTTGTTTCAGGCTCCGTGAGCTTTTAGCATCAGAAGAAAATAAGTATTTCACTGAAATGCAATTGAAAGAAGAAACAATTGAGGAGAGAAAAGATAAAATGAAAGAGAAAATAAAATTATTAAAGGAGAAGAAAGAAAAAGAGAGACAGGATTTTGTGGCTGAAAAGCTAGACCAGCAATTCAGGTATTGATGTCGGAAAAACACACACACAGAATCTGGGCATTGAAAAGGATGTGGGAGCCCTGGCTGGTATGGCTCTGTGGATTGAGCACTGGCCAGCAAACCAAAAGGTCACAAGTTCGATTCCCAGTCAGGGCACATGCCTGGGTTGTGGGCCAAGTCCCCAGTAGGGGGAGGTGTGTGGGAGGCAGCCACACATTGATCTTTCTCTTCCTCTTCTTCCTTTCCCCTCTGTCTAAAAATAAAATAAGTAAAATCTTAAAAAAAAGAGAAAAGGATTTGGCCAGGGTTGGTTGGAACATCATCCCATAGACCAAAATGTTGCATGTTTGATCCCCAGTCAGGGCACATACCCAGGCTGCAGATTCGATCCCTGGTTGGGACACATACGAGAGGGCAACCAATCAATGTTTCTGTATCTTATCGATGTCTCTGTTTGTCTCTCTCCTGTCCTCTGTCTCTGAAGCAATGAAAAAATATCTTCAGGTGAAGATAAAAATAAATAAATAAATAATAAAAATAAAAAAGATTTAGGAGTGTTAATTTTCAGTAAAGTATAGCCTTAACAGAGTATAGCCAGTAGTTGCATTTCTAAATCTTGGTGATTATATACACATCATTGTATAATGCAGCACTGAGGATTTTTGTCTTATTTTGTGTTAAGAACACTTAAGATCTACTCTCAACAAATTTCAAGTATACAATACAGTATTATTGCTTATAGTCTCCACTCAGCTCAGTAGATTCCCCAGAACTTACCCATTTTCTAACTCAAAGTTGGTGCTCTGTGACCAACTTCTCCCCTTTCCCCTCCACCTGTCCCCTGGGCACGCACATGCTCCTCTCTGTTTCTACGTGTTCAGCTCTGTGTTTTGTGCTTTCAGACTCCACATGGAAGTGAGACCATAGGCTCTTTGTCTTTCCCTGTCTGGTTTATTTCATTGAGTATAACGTCCTCCACACTCATTCGTGCAGGTGCTATGGTGGAAAAAGTGGGAAGAGTGGGCACCCTTGTTTTCTTCCTGATTTTTGAGGAAAAGCCTTTACCTTTCCATGGTTGAATGTGATGGTCACTAAGGACCTGTCATATATGGCCTTATTGTGTTGAGCTACTTTCTGTCTCTACCTAATATGTTGAAAAAAATTTTTTTATCATGGATTTGTCAAATGCTTTTTCTACATCTACTGAGATTATCATATAATTTTTATCCTTCCTTCTGTTAAGATGTTTGTCACATGCATTGGTTTGCATATGTTGAATCATCCTTGCATCCCAGGGATAAATCACTCTTGATCATGGTATATGATCCTTTTAATGTGCTCTTCAATTCGACTTGCTAGTATTTTATTGCATCTGTGTTCATCAGGAATATTGGGCTGTAATTTTCTTTTCTTGTAGTGTCCGTATCTCCAGCTTTGGTGCCAAGGTAGTGCTGGCTTTGTAAATGAGTTTGGAAGTGTTCTCTCTTATTCTGTTTTTTGGAAGTGTTTGAGAAGGGTTGCTATTATTACTGAGTGGCTTAACAAAAAAAGAATGTCACGCCCTGGCTGGCGTAGCTCAGTGGATTGAGCGCAGGCTGGGAACCAAAGTGTCCCAGGTTCGATTCCCAGCCAGGGTACATTCCTGGGTTGCAGGCCATAACCCCCAGCAACCGCACATTGATGTTTCTCTCTCTCTCTCTCTCTCCCCCCCCTTCCCTCCCTAAAAATAAATAAATTAAAAAAAAATCTTAAAAAAAAAAAAAAAGAATGTCACTTAGGCTGTCAGGTCACCGAGTATGAATGCAGCAGGTGTATACGGTGTTACTCTAGATCAGGAGCAGAGTGGTCCAAGATAAAGTAAAATGTAAACTCTGAGTTTATAGTAGAAAACAGAAGGAAAATAAGAATTCATCCTTTAAAATATGTTATTTATTTACTTTTAGACAGAGGGAAAGAGAGGGAGAGAAATATCAATGTGTGGTTGCCTCTTGCATGCCTCCACCTAGGGACCTGGCCCGCAACCCAGGAATGTGCCCTGACTAGGAATCAAACTGGTGACCCTTTGGTTCATAGGCTGGTGCTCAATCCACTGAGCCATACCAGCCAGGGCTATGAGAGTTCATTTTTCACAGCACGTGAAATTTGAATAGGTGAGAAATCCAAAGGTCAACAGATGTGAGAAAGAAACAAAACCAAGCATGTGGAGGGGTCAAGACACATGGTTCAGAGATAAAGCTTTTCCCATCTCCTCTCTCTCTCTGCCATGAAGTTGTTCTTAATTACATAGGCTGCCCTAAGTCCTCCTAGTAGAGACCCAAGAGGGGATATTGCAGTGAGTAGTGCGTGCAAATTGCAGGTTCAGCAGCTAACAAGGTAAGTTAGACTGCTAAAACTAGAGGGAATGGGAAGTTTCAGGGCTTGGGGAGCTGCTATGCCGGCCGGGGAAGAAAAGGGGAGCAGAAATGCTTACGACCAGAATGAGCTTGCTGCTCCGCATCTGGCAGATGGGTAATTTGAGTTCCACAGGTACGAATTTTACTAGGTTTCCAATCTTGTAGTAACAAAAACTGGGTTAGACTTGGACGTTCTGCCCTTTCTGAAGTTTAGCCTCGCCTCCTGTCCTCAGTAGGGCTCAGATACTCCCTACGGGCTGCTGGAGGAGAAGACGCTGTGAGGGACAAAGGGGACACTAGCAAATGAATGTCAATGGGCCATTCTGTATTTCCCTAGTGGCTGGTGGTGCTGAGCAACTGTTCGTGTGCTTATTTGCCATCTGTATATCATCCTCTTCGGTGAAGTGTCTCTTTATGTCTTTTGCCCATTGTCTGATTGGATTAGCTCATTAAGTTTTGAGAGTTCTTTATGTATTCTGGATATGAGTCCTTGGTGTGGATACATGATTTGGAAATATTTTTTCCTAATCTGTAGCTTGCTTTTTATTCTCTTAACAGGGTGTTTCAGAGAAAAACATTTTAAGTTTGATGAAATCCAATTTATCACTATTTCTTTTATGGATCATGCTTTTGGTACACTGTGATTTTCTTTTTAATGTCTTATATTTATACACAGTTAGTGATTGGACCTACCACAGATTAAGGTAGACAGCTTTTGGCTTTGTTTTGTTTTGGGGTGTTCTTTGTTAAACAAATACCCTAAGATGCATAGTCAGAACTCTTGAAGGCAGTCTTGTCCCTTTTACTTACTGGCAGAGGTGATATAACGAAGTACCAAAGAACCTAAACTCCAGGGCCAGCCTGCCAGGTTTTCTCTCCCATGCTTACACATATGAAATGTGTGAACTCACCCATGACGCTTAACTGCTCTGTGCCTCCTTTACTTCTCTGTAAACTGGGGGTGATGATAATGATGAAAATGAACTTACAATAATGTTCACTGCAACATTGGTTCTTATCAAGATTATAAGAATTCATATATGTAAAGTGCTTAGAACAATGCCTGGCAAATAAAAACTCAATAACTTGCTAATAATATTACTGCTGCAGGTCATATGTTTTAGGAAGACACAGGCTCCTTGAGTTTTGATTGCTCTAACTCCGCAATGGGGATAATACTGGCTGCTATGTCTAAGTTATAGTGTACTCCTGAGTATGAAGTAAGATTTTATGTGTGAAAGTGTCACATAAAGCACTCACAAACAGAAAGCTGTCCTCTTTATTAATGATATTTGATGTAGGGAGATAGCTATTCTACTTATCCAATATTATTGATAAAAAGAGAGCATCCCTCAGGGGTTCCTAAGGTCAAGTGAGTAGGAGAATCTATAGAATGTAGGGAGAAAATATCCGATGTTCATTTTTTATCTCCTTTTAATTTTAATTTTTTGCACATATTTAATAATTTATGTTATAGTGACAACTGCATACAGTTTATAAATAATAATCATATTTGTGGGTACTTAGAATTTTTTACTGAAAGGGATACATAATCAAAAAATTTTAAAGAGCTACTGATCTGAAGACATAGTTGATATGTGCACCTTCATACAGTGTTATTTCAGGCTTTTTTAGCAGCAGGCATCAACTGCCTTAACGTTTTTGTACTCTGATTTTATAGTAAGGAAGGGGATCACCTTAAGGAAATCATCAAAGATAAGCAGAAAGAGGTACATGTAAGAATATTCACTGTACCGTGGCTGCTGTAGCTCAGTGGATTGAGCGTGGGCTGCAAACCAAAGGGTTGCCAGTTCAATTCCCAGTCAGGGCACATGCCTGGGTTGTGGGCCAGGTCCCCAGTTGGGGCCATGTGAGAGGCAACCACACACTTGATGTTTCTCTCCCTCTCTTTTTCCCTCCTTTTCCCTCTCTCTATAAATAAATAAAATCTTAAAAAAAAAAAGAATGTTCATTACAATGTTATAATAGAAGTCAGAAGTAACCTATATAGCCCTGGCTGGGTAGGTCAGTTGGTTAGAGCATCATCCCAATATGCCAAGGTTGCAAGTTCAATCCCTGGTCAGGGCTAATACAAGAAGCAACCAATGAATGCATAAATAAGTGGAAGAACAAATCAATATTTTTTTCTCTCTAAAATCAATAAATAAATTTTAAAAAGGAAGTAACCTATATGTTCATCAAAAAAGGAAATGATCAGTACAGCATGATATGTTCATAGCTTCCAGCCTATATTACACAGCTTAGTAAACTAATAAGTTTTTGAAGTTAGGAATTATTTTTAAGAATATTTCCTGAGAAAACATTTTTTTACTGTCTTCTTTTTTTCTTTATTTTTTATTGTTTATACTATTACAGTTGTTTCCACTGTTTTCCCCTTTGTCCACCTCCACCTAGCCCCCACTTGCTGAGGAAACAGTTTTTTTTCCTCTTAGGATTTTATTTATTTATTTTTAAAGAGAGGGAAGAGAGGGGGAAAGAGAGGAAGAGAAACATCGATGTGAGAGAGAAACATCAATTGGTTGCTTCTCATACATGCCCCAACCAGGGACTGAACCAGCAACACAGGCATGTGCCCTGACTGGGAATGGAACCCACAACCTTTTGCTTTGTGAGATGATGCCCAACTGAGACACATCGGTCAGGGAGGAAACATTTCTAATATAATATTAGGTAGAAAAATTAAGATATAAGGAGATATTGATATAGATGTATAGTTATATAGAACAACCCCAATTCTAGTAAAAATGCACATACACAAGATTGGAAAGAAATACTAATAATCTAATAGCAGTTATTTCTTGGCAGTGGAATCAAGTTTTTTTAGTGTCTTCATATCTTTTATATTTTTCAGTTTTTCTGTAATGAACATGTATTAGTTTTGTATTTAGGAAGAAGGAGATTATTCTCCTTAAAAGCAAAAATATAATAGGCCATACTTGTTATTCTTAGGTCTTAGATTTTTATTATATATTTATTTTTAAAATTTTTAATTTTTCAATTACAGTTTACATTTAATATCATTTTGTGTTAGTTTCAGATGCACAGCATAGTGGTTAGATAATCGTGTACTTTACAAAGTGACTCCCTCCCTCAATATTTCAGGTACCCACATGGTACCAGACATAGTTATTGCAATATTATGAACTTTATTTCCTATGCTGTACTTTATATCCCCGTGACTATTCTGCAACTACCAGTGTGTACTTCTTAATCTCTTAAACTTTTTCACCCAGTCCCCTAAGTGCCCTCCCCTCTGGCAACTCTCAGTCTGTTTTCTGTGTCTGTAAGTCTCTATCAGTTTTGTTTGTTTATTTTTTCTTTAGACTCCACATATAAGTGAAGTCATATGGTATTTGTCTTTCTCTGACTTATTTCACTGAACATAATAACCTTTGAGACCATCTATGCTGTCACAAATGTTAAGATTTCATTCTGATTATGTTTAAGATTCCTGTGTGTGTGTGTGTGTGTGTGTGTGTGTGTGTGTGTGTGTATGCCACAGCTTTTTTTGTCCACTTATCTGTTAACGGACACTTGGGTTGCTTCTGTATGTAGGCTACTGTAAATAACGCTGCAATGAACATAGAGGTGCATATATTCTTTCAGATTAGTGTTTTGGGTTTCTTTGGATATATACCCAGAAGTGGAATTGCTGGGTCATAAGGCAGTTCCATTTTTAATATTTTTAGGAATCTTTGTACTGTTTTCCATAGGTGGCTGCACCAATCTGCATTCCCACCAACAGTGCACAAGTGTTCTTTTTCTCTACATCCTTGCCAACACTTGTTGTTTGTTGATTTATTGATGATAGCCATTCTGACTGGGGTGAGTGGATCTCATTGTTGTTCTAGATATGTTTTAATTGAATATTTTTTTTAGGGTATGAATCATAGGATTGGGAAGGAGTTTAATAAATTGCCATAGTCAATTCTGATTGAATTTCACTGATGAATTTCAGACAGATGAATTCATTTTTCAGTGTTGAAGTGTTTTGTTTTGTTTGCTAACCTAGTGTTTTGAGCTTCTGTTACCTCCTGAGCCTTAGGTAACTGCTGGTAATCATTAATGTTCCTAACAAGCCTAACTATATATCAGTGAAACCAGCAGTTATTTACTGGGTGCTGGGTAGGTAGTGTGGGGTATATATTCCTGAAATATAGTCCTTAGTCCCAGCACTCAAAGTGAATCCAGGCTATGTAGGGAAATGAGATAAATCCTCATCAAATGGTGAACAGCACTCAACAGTGTTTGATAAATGTCAATTTGTGAGGTATTGATCAGTCTTGCAATGAGAGTTTAGACTTATGTCTTTTGGTCTTAGAGATTAAAATTTCATCAAAATTTCCATATTGAGCCTATTCTCCAACTCCAGTTTCTTGGTGCTGAATTTTATTTAGAAACCAGGGAGACTTGATATTTATAGACTTTGCCTTCAACGGGGTCCTTATGAGTTGGCTGTGTGCCAGAGCCTCCTGAGCGCTCTGGAAGAGCGCAGAAGCCTGTGTGCCGCCCCAGGTTTCTGATTGAACTAGGCTGGCCTGGGAGTGGGGTGGGGGAAGAAGTGGGGATTTTGAACGTACCCCTCAGTAATTCTGAAGTGTAGACATTGCTGAATATCAGGGGGCTCAATGCAGAACTTTTGAAGAAGTGGAGATAGCAAGACTGAAAGAAAGGGTGAGGTCCGAACACTTAGGGAGAGAGCATTCCTTCCTGAACGGTGAGAGAAGCCTGGGTGTGAAGAGGCCGCGCTGGCAGAACCCCGTCAGTGGACATGTGCCCGGCCAGGAGTCCCGGGGCGATGGGGGAGCTCCCCTGGGGTGTGCCGCCTCGCCCCTTGGATGTTTCCTGGGTGTGCGTGTGGGGTCTCTTCCTACCAAAGCCTAATGGGCCCACCTCTCTGCTGTTTCCTCCACAGTAATAATCATAGTTACCCCTTATTGAACTCTTGTTATTCATTCACCAGGCATTTACATCTGTTATCTCTGACACCAGAACCTTAAAAGACAGTTGTTCTACAGATTTTTAAAAAAAATGTAGGTCAAGTTTTTGATCCAAGGTCACACAGGAAATGTCAAAACTGGGTTTCCAAGCCTGTGCTGTCTGACTCAGTGCCAGTATTTTGTCTGTGACGTCATGGCGCCCACCTCCCTGCTGCTCCCTCACATACTTTCTCTGCTCAGATGGCCTACACTCAGGCCCTTTACTTTCCTTCTTCAGTTTCTGACTGTGCAGACATGTGCCCAAATAGAGGAGTGTCTCATGGAAGATTTGCCTTTGCCACTTTCAAATTCTCCTTTCAGGGAACGCTGTGAAGAGCTCCGCGTCCAGTTGTCTTGTATCCATCAGGAGAAGGTGTGCGAGGAACGGAAAGCCCAGATCGAGTTTAATAAGGAGCTGAAAAGGCAAAAAGTGGTAGAAGAGCAGATGTTCTCAAAGCTCTGGGAGGAAGACCGATTAGCCAAGGAGAAGCGGGACAGCGAAGAGGCGAGGAGACAGAAGGAGCTGGTGGAGAACACGCGCCTGGGGCTGAACGCCCAGATCACCGCCCTGCAGGCGCAGAGGCTGGCGGTGCAGCAGCTGAAGGAAGAGGAGGCGCGCCTGGTGGTGGGCCCTTTAAAGTGCTCGTCCTGGGAGGGTCAGCTGAGTGGGTGCAGGACGCACTTCACGTCCTGTTTGCCTAACGGTCTGGGCCCGTTCGCAGGGCAACAACACAGGAGCCTTGGGCTTCAGGGCCCAGCTGTCCCATTGCATAGGGCAAGTTACTGAACTACTGTGTCTCAGTTTCTTTAGAAAAATGAGGGAAAAGCCATGTGTTTGCAGGGCGGGGCAGGGAGGATGATATGGGACAATCATTGGCAGTGCTGTGGAGGACTAGTGACAATTTGGCCACATCCTCTGTTCTTTAATATGCAAATTGACAGTTTCCAAATCCTGTGAAGAAGTGCCATACAACAGCTACTGTAACCCACTGGTCTCCCAAGTCAACAATTTTGTTCCAACGAGACTGTTGCTGCCCCCACTGCAGCCATTTTCAACCCGGGCACCGCAAGAGTTTGTAAAACATGCAACACCTGACTATTTAGTTACAGGTACTGACCTTTTCCCCCTTAGGCTGTCAAAGAAAAAATGACAACAGTCAACACAACAGTAGCCATCTAGTGTGAATGAATCAAAATTATATCTATTTTTTGTCAGATCAGTAAGAAGTATATTTTTTGATGTGCTGCAGAATTTTAGTTTATGTGTGCCATGAGATGAAACAGGTTGAAAATCACTCCCCTACTGCATAGAAATTAGTTTCCACTGAAAGTGTGTGAAAGCACTTGAAAAAGTAGCAATTTTATATGTGTATAAAGCTTTCAACAACTGATACATTATTACCACTAAATTTAGGAAAAAGGTATTATTTTCCTGGGGAATCCTAAGTCTTGAAATGTGGAACCATAAAAAAAGTCAAAGGAAAGCTAGACGCCTTCTCTGGGTTTCAGGTGGTTTTCCTTTGACGTGTTTTCTAGAAGATGTCTACATATTTTAGCCTCTCTGAGAAAACCAGACTGGCGGCCCTCCCCTGCCTCATGGCCCCGCCCTCTGGTGTCAGACACCTGGGAGCCATTCTCACTCAGCACTTCGGACACCACATGTGCGAGTCTTTTTCCTGCACCAAACAATTCTCTGACTCTGTGTGGACATCAGCTAGGTGTCCTATAATTTGGTTCAATTCTGACACCATCCAGAGATGGTGCCGGACTCAGCAGGTGTACGGGCTCAGGCTCCTAAGACCGCCAGTCACAAGTAGTGGGCCCCTGGGCTGCCTATACTGCCGTCCAACTTGGCTACACAGTCAGAGGTTCTCACGAAAGTGCTGTCTGTATGTACCGTTAGTGGTTTATCGTAAAGGATGTGACACAGGAACGTGGATAGATTTATGCAGCCACTCCCAAGGTCGGGACCCAGGGCCGTTCCGTCACCCAAAGGAGCTCCTTCCAGCTACTCCCTTACAGTTATAACCTCTCACAAGCCTAACTCCTGGCAGCTGCCGATACATTCTTTATCACTATTTTGTTGTGCTTTTGAGAAAGTTATGTAATTTTGACCTTTTAAAATGTTTTATTGTGAACATTTTTTTAATGCACAGAGGTGGAAAGTTGAGTGAGCCCCTCTGTGCCTGTCTCCCGGTTCTGGTGGCTCCCACGTTTTGCCATATTGGCTTCCTCTGTCCTTCCCATCCCCTCGGTCTTTGTTTTAAAACACATCCCAGACATCGTATTTCCCCTGGTGCATCTCAACAACAACATAATTCAGGACATTTTCTTATGCAATGCCAATGTCAGACCAAAAGTATTGAAAATAATTCATTTTTACCATCTAAAGTCAGCGTCAAGTTTCCATCATTGTCTCAGTTATTTGACATTTAAATCCAACTCCAAATATGGTTGTTTTAAGTCTGTTTTAGAAAGAGTGGTTGTATATCACTCATTTCAGGTTGAAAGGGGCGCAATAAGTTCGTTACATGGGCACAACAGGTGTAAGATCAGAACTATCCTGGTGAAACCAAAACATGGTAAACCGCCCCGAGGTCTCTTGATCTTGGGCAGTTTCCCCCACCCCACCCCTACCTACCATACAGTCTGGGTCTGGCCGACGGCCTCCTGCTGCCGAGGTCAAGCGCACTGTGAACGAAGTGTGGCCTGCTCTTCCCCCGACTCTCATGTCTGATGCCCACTGCTTTTCCTCGGATGCCGCAGAGTATTTTCACTTCAATCATCACATCTGGCCCTTACAATTCAGTTGGATTTACTGCTCATGGCATTAGCGGAAAAGTCTGGCAGTTACAACTCCCCTCTCACAAAACACTAATCACGGCTGTTGTGAATCTCAGTTAAATCAAGTCAAATTGGCATTTGGATACCATCCTCACTATTGCTATGCCATCTCCTGTCCCAGCTGGGCCAGTCCTTAATCCTCTAGGAGAGTCCCACTGCTCCGACAGGAGGGCCAGTGCCTCTGGTGTACTGCTCCCAAGTTTTCTACCAAACCCACAGTGCTCAACAGCATTGCCGCCCCAGTTAGAACTGCTTGATTGGCCAGGCAGTCAAGCCGGCCAGGAAGGTCAGAAAGCTAAAAAGAGAGGGAGGGAGGGGGAAAGAGAGGGAAGGAGGGAGAGGGGGAGCGAGAGAGAGGGAGGGAGGGAGGGAGGGAGGGAGGGAGGGGGAGAGAGAGGGAAGGAGGAATGGGGGAATACTTTTAAAGAACAAAATGCTTAAGATCTAGTCTGTGTGTTTAGCTGATGTGCACATTTCTGTTTTTGGACTCTTACTGCGGTTTAATAATATGCCCACATCTAGGTGTGCAGATGTGCATGGAAGAATGCAGCCTAGAAGGCCATGCGCTGAAATGCTGAGAGTGGTGCTGAGTGCTGGGTACTAGGTTCAATGGTGATTTCTCTTCACACTTTTCCGAATTTCGAACCTGACAACTGCTTATTACTTTATAATTACACAGCAATTTCACAAAGCCTTCTTGCTGACTGAGCAACGCAAAGGGGTGTTTTATTTCTTACAGTCCCTCTAACTCCAGGCGTGTGTGTTTCCAAGAAGCCTTTTGTTCTCCTACGTGCAGTGTGTCAGTTTGTTTTGTCCACCTGTACTGAGGCATTATCTTCACTGCGTTCTCCCCTAGGAAAGTGACAAAGCTCGGGTGAAACTTGAAGATGAGCAGGATAAGCTAAAGAAACAGAAGACAAAACAGGAAATTCGGGTGACTTTGCAGAAAGCCCTCCAAGAGAAGATAGAGCGTATTCAGCAGGAACACAGACAAGAGCAGGACTTGGACCTGAAGCTCGTGCACAGCGCCTTGCAAGACTTACAGGAAGAGGCTGACAAAAAGAAGCAAAAAAAAGTAAGACATTTATTCGGTGCCCCATACATGCTGGATGGGGTTCCTTGTTGAGCTCTCAGTGTTACAGGAGCCAGCCACGTGCAGAATGAACCACGGCAGTGCTACTCTAAGTGCAGCATCGGCTGCATCGGAGAACGGTAGAAATAGAAATCCGTAGGTGCCCGAATCAGAAGCTATAAACCCAGATCCCGGCAGGGGCAAGGAATCTGTGTTTCAGCAGGATCCCTCGCATTATTCAGGTCATCACTGAATTTCGATTGCTCCTAGTCGATAGTGTGGCGTTGGCACTGGGGTAGCAGGATGGGATCACACGGGGGAGGACATGCCTGAGAAAGCGATATTTGAGTTGGACCTTGGAGGGTGTGGAAAGTTTCATCAGGCAAGGAGGGTAGAGAAAAGCATTCCGGTGTTTATTGAGCTGTCTATTCCTTTGAAATTTGTGTTAAACTCTTAAGGGTGTCATGCTTTTCCTATTGTACTATTTTCTATAGACTATTTTTTTAGAGTGGTTTTATGTTCACCGCAAAATTGAGCGGAAGATAGAGATTTCCTGTAGCCTCCTGTCCCCACAAATGCACAGGCTCCCTCATCATCAGCATCCCCTGCCAGAGGGCGCGTTCGCTACAGCTGATTAGCCCACACTGATGTCATTGTCACCCACAGTCCAGAGTTTACATTAAGGCTCACTCTTGGGGGTGGACACTCTGTGGGTTTGGACTAATGCACAAGGACGTGTGTCTGCCATGGCAGCGCCACACAGAGCAGTTCCACTGCCCTAACACTAGCTCCATAGTTTTGCCTTTTCCAGAATCTCATATTGTTGGAATCATACAGTATGTAGCCTTTTTAGATTGGCTTGTTTCACTAAGTGTATGCATTTAAATTTCCCATCTTTTCATGGCTTGATCGCTCATATCCGTTTATCACTGAGTAATACTCCATCGTGCGGATGTGCCACCGTTTACCCACTCACCTGCTGGAAGACACCCGTGGCTGCCCCCAGGCTTTGGCGGTTGTGAACAAGGTTGCCGTACCCATTCACGTGTAGATTGTGGTGTGGACATAAGTTTTTAACTTGGGTAAATACAAAGAGAGCTATTGCTGGATCACATGGTAAAAATGTGTTTAGTTTTGTAGGAAACTGCCAGCCAGTCTTCCAAAGTGTCTGTACCACTTTGCGTTCCCACCAGCAGTGAATGAGGGCTCGTATTACTCCACATTTTCATCAGCATTTGGGGTTGTCAGTGTTCTGGACTTTGGCCATTCCAGTAGTTGTGTAATGAGATCTCATTGTTGTTTTAATTTGTGTTTCCCTGATGATGTATGATGTGGTGCGTTAAGGGTTCTGAACCCAATTTCAAATATGAGGAAGTGGGGGGTTTTCCAAGCAATGCTCAGGACATCAGCTGGGTGTCCTACAAGTCAACTCAGTTCTGACACTGTTTACCCAGAGATAGCATCACAGAGATAGCATCAGATTGCATACGTAAAGGGCTCAGTTCTACAAGACGAGCCTCTATTTCAGGCACCAGCTGCAAGCCCAGGTTGTTACTGTGCTTCTGACTACCAGCTGCAAATGGAGCTTCCAACAACTCAAATGCCAATTGCAAGTTCAGGTTGTGACCTGTATTTCTGACCAACTGGCTATAAATTGGAAGTTTCCATGGCCCCCTCCTTGGGCTTGACTGATTTTCTAGAGCAGCGAACAGAACTCAGGAAACCCATTTACTCACTAAATTATCTGTTTGTTACAAAGGATATTAAAGGATGCAAATCAACACAAAAGAAGAGATAGTAGGTTCTAGACAAAGGAGCTTTCGTCCTCGCATTGTTTGGGACCCGGCATGGTGGAATATAAAAGTGTTCTGGTTCCCCGGCCTGGGCGCCAAACCCTCTCCTTTTGGATTTTTGTGGAGGCTTCATTACACAGGCACGGTGGACTAAGTCACTGGCTGTTGCTGACTGATTTAACTTCCAGCCCCTTCCTCCCCTCTGGAGATCAGGGTGTTGGGACTGGAGTTCTAACCCCTAAACACATTGTTGCTTCCCCTGGCAACCAGCCCCCAACCTGAGGTGCTGTCCAAAAGTCACCCCATTGACATAAGACACCTTTCCCACTCTCATTACTTAGAAAATCCTAAGAGTTTTAGGAGCTCTATGTCAGAAATGGGAACCAAATCACCAAATATGTATCTCTTACTATAAATTGTTCACAATATACAAGCATCATGAAATCACACGTGATGTGACCTTTGGACTGGCTTCTTTCACTTAGCATGTTTTCAAGGCTGATCCATGGTGTACTGTGGGTGAGCACTTCGTTCCTTAATGTGGCTGAATAATACCCCATTGTGTGGATACACCCCATTTTGTTCATTCGCTTGTCAGCTGATGGATAGTTCAGCTGTTTCTACTTTTTGGCTATTGTGAATAATGTTGCTGTTAACACTGATGTGTAAGTTTTTGTTTGGACATAGGTATGTTTTTGTGTTTCTTTGGGACAAGTAACTAGGAGTAGAATTACTGAGTCCTGGGTTAATTCTTATGTTTAAGCTTTTGAGTAATTGCCACATTATTTTCCAAAGTGGCTCCATCATTTTGCATTCTCACTAGCAGTATATGAGGGTTCTGATTTCTTCACATGCTCATTGGTACTTACAGTTTGCCCTTTTTTTTTTAAAACCATCCTAGTGTGTCTGAAATGGTATGTCATTTTATGGTATAAAATGTGGTTTTGATTTGCATTTCCCTAACGACTAACAATGTTGTGTCTCTCTTCCTGTGCTTATTGACCATTTGTGTATCTTCCTTGGAAAAATCTACTTGAAGTCTATTGTATAGACTTCTTAAAGAAGTTTATTCAAGTCATTCGCCCAATTTTCAATAGGATTATTTCTCTTTTCATCATTGAGTTGTGAGAGTTCTTTGTATGTTCTACAAATTCCCTTACATACACGGTTTGTAAATATTTTTTCTTACTCCACTTTCTTGATGGTGAACTTTGAAGTATAAAAGTTTTTAATTTTGATAAAGTCCAATTTGTATTTTCTTTCGCTGCTTTTGCTGTCATCTCTAAAAAACTGTTTCTAGGCCCAGATGGCAAAGGTGTTTTCCTGTTAGTCACACAGTTTCAGCTTTCACATCTGGGCCTTTGACACGCTATTTGAGCCGAAGTCTGTCTGTGGTGAGAGGCAGAGGTCCCGCTCCATCCTCCCGCACGCGGGCGTCCTGGGCTCCCAGCACCACTTCCCGGAGGGACTTCCTCTTCCCTTTGGAATTGTCTTGGCGCCCTTGTCAGAAATCCATTAACGGTAAACATGAGGATTTATTTTTGGACTTTCACTTCTGTTTCATTATCTGTATGTCCATCCTTCTGCTCCTTCACAGGTTTGTGTGTCTTTATCACTGCAGTGAGTTTGGAATCAGGAAACGTGAGTCCTTCAACTTGGTTCTTATGTTTCCAATTGTTTTGGCTATCCTGGCTCCCTTCCATTCTCATACGAAGTTAGGATCACTTTACCAATTGCTGCAAAGAAGACAATTGGGATTTTGATAGAAATTATTTTGAATCTCTAGACCAATTTGGGGACAATGACCATTTTAACAATATTGTCTACTGATCCATGAACATAGAATGTTTTCATTTATTTAGGTCTTCTTTGATTTATTTCAATAATATTTTTTAGTTTTAAGAGTGTAAGGTTTGCTTTTCTGCGTTAAATTCATTCCTAAGTAAGAATGAGACTATGCAGACGAGCCATTGTGATGGTCCAGCTACACCCTCAGGCCCTGCTCGTCCTGCCTCAGGTCTGTGTAGCCTCACAAGAGATCAGATCAGAGATCAGATGGAGCAGCACAAACACAAAACCATGGAGGATGGAGAGCCAGCTGAAACATCTCTGTTATCAAGCCCAGTTGACAACCTTAGCTGCACATTAAAATCACCTGGAAAACTTAAACACTATCCATTAGATAGGAAACTCTGGAGCAGAGACTCAGCCCTTGCTACTTTTTAGAGCTCCCCAGGTGATGCCAAAGTGTAGCTAAGATTGAGAGTTGCTGTTATAAAGTATCAGGTGGCTGACTCGTCGTCTACACAGAGACAGTGCGGTAATAGTAGTAGTGACTGACTTCACCAGGTTAAGATTTCATCTACCTAAATTAAAATGCATGAAAATGAAGCTGTATAATTGCAAATTATTTTGGAACTGCTTTGAGAAGTAACTTACTTAACAATGTATTTTAAAACATTTCAAATAGATGCGAGAAACAGTACAAAGAACCCCATGTGTCCCTTACCTCGTTTCAACAACCATCAGCTGATGTCCGTCCGTGTTTCATCTGTACCCCCACACATCACCCCACCACTCCCAGATATTTTGAAATAAGCCCTTGACATAATATTTCATCAGTAAATATTTCAGTAGTCGTTTTCAAACTTTGAGAGCTCTAAACGATTGTAGCTCTAAACGACTGTTTTAAACGTCTGCAGTGTCACTGTCACACCCAAGCGTTGTAACGTGGTGATTTTTGTGTTGTGTAGGAAGACATGATAAGAGAACAGAAGATATATCACCAGTACCTGGCACAGTGCCGTGAGGAGGAAACTGCCCGGGAGAAAGAACTGGACAGGATACTGGAGGAAGAGAAGGCAAAGAAGCTGGCTGAGAAGGACAAGCAGCTGAAACTTGAAAAGGAGGCAAGGAAACAGCTTGTGAATGAGGTCATGTGTACGAGAAAACTTCAAGTGGAAGAAAAGTGTAAGGAAATAAATTCTCTTTATGTTTTAACTGAGCCTTGTTAAATTCAATGTAAAGTAACAACTTTATTGTTTACATTTATTTTTCAATATTCATATATTTATATTGAATCATAAATACTTAAAAATAATAAATATCCATAAATATCCAATATATTTATATTGAAACATGAAATTATAATTATGTTTTTGTTTTATTGATTATGCTATTATAGTTGTCCCATTTTCCTCCCTTTTATCCCCCACTGCCCTGTACCCCCCTCCCTCCAGCCTTCCCCGCCTTTAGTTCATGTCTATGGATCATACATATAAGTTCTTTGGCTTCTCCATTTCCCATACTATTCTTAACCTCCCCCAGTCTATTTTGTACCTGCCATTTATTCTTCTTATTCCCTGTACCTTTTCCCCTATTCTCCCTCCATCCCCTCCCTGCTGATAACCCTCCATGTGATCTCCATTTCTGTAATTCTGTTCCTGTTCTAGTTGTTTGCTTAGTTTGTTTTTGTTTTTGTTCTTGTTCTTTAGGTTCAGTTGTTGATAGTTGTGTGTTTGTTGTCACTTTACTGCTCCTAATTTTGGTCTTCTTCTTTGTCTTAGATAAGTCCCTTTAACATTTCATATAATAAGGGCTTAGTGATGATGAACTCCTTTAACCTGACCTTATCTGAGAAGCACTTTATCTGCCCTTCCATTCTAAATGAGAGCTTTGCTGGATGGAGTAATCTTGCATGTAGGTCCTTGCCTTTTATGACTTCAAATACTTCTTTCCAGCCCCTTCTTGCCTGTAAGGTTTCTTTTGAGAAATCAGCTGATAGTCTTATGGGGACTCCTTTGTAGATAACTCTCTTCTCTTGCTGGTTTTCAGATTCTCTCCTTATCTTTAATCTTGGGTAATTTAATGATGATGTGTCTTGGTATGTTCCTTTTTGAGTCCAACCTCTTTGGGATTCTCTGAGCTTCCTGGACTTACATATCTAGTTCCTTCACCAGATTGAGGAAGATTTTTTAAATTATTTTTTCAAATGAGTTTTCAATTGTTGTTCTTCCTCTTCTCCTTCTGGTACCACTATAATTCAGATGTTAGAATGTTTAAAGTTGTCCCAGAGGTTCCTAAGCCTCTGCTCATTTTTTTTTTGAATTCTTGTTTCTTCATTCTGTTCTGGTTGAATGTTTTTTTTCTACCTTCTCTTCCAAATCATCGATTTGAGTCCTGGTTTCCTTCACTTCACTGTTGGTTTCCTGTATATTTTCTTTGTTTCACTTTGTATAGGCTTCACTTCTTCCTTTATTTTGCATCTGTACTCAACCGTTTCTGTGAAAATCCTGATTACCAGTGTTTTGAACTCTGCATCTGATAGGTTGTCTATCTCCTCATTGCTTAGTTCTTTTTCTAGAGTTTTGACCCGTTCTTTCATTTGGGCTATATTTCTTTGTCTCAGTGCACCTGTTACATTGTAAGGGATAGAGCCTTAGGTATTTGCCAGGGTGGGGTAACCCACGTCGCTGTGTTGTGGAGTTGTCTGTGGGGTAGGGTCCGAGAGGGAACAGTGCTGCTTGCTTGGTTCTTGCCCTGCTCTCAGTCACTTCCTCCGCTTCCCACAAGCAAATTGGGCCCTTCTGGTGCTGATTCCCAGATGGGTGGGTTTGTATACATTCTAGCAGCCCGTGGGTCCCTCCAATGGACTCTCCTGTGACTGGGAGTTTCTCCCACCGCCGCAACCGCCACAGGTTTTTACAACCAGAAGTTTTGAGGCTTTATTTCCCTGTCCTGGAACCCTGGATTCCATTGTCTGTCTTGCTCCCCAGTTGTTCCTCCTGGCTTATCCGCACATGAATGTGGGGCCACCAGGTCTGCCAGCCACCCCTTGCTGTGCGTCCTCTCTGCCCTGGCTGCCCATCTCTGCCCCTCCTACCAGCTTGGATGGATGTTTCTTCTTTAACTCTTTGGTTGTCGGACTTCCATACAGTTCAATTTTCTGGCAGTTCTGGTTGTTTTTTGTTTTTAAATTGGTTGTTGTCCTTCATTTGGTTGTGCAAGGAAGTGAAGCATATATACCTACGCCTCCATCTTGGCCAGAAGTCTCCTATAATTATGTTTTAATTGAGGCAAGTTAAAATTCAGTTTAAGTAACAACCAATATATTCTTTAAGTAGGTATTACATAAGAAATACTAGGAGGGATATTAAAAGGATTAAGGCAAGTTCCCTCCCTTGCAGATGTTACCTGATTATGACTGCATACAGTTTGAACACTCTGTGTGAAGGGTTTTCTATCCCAGCAGACTCTGAGCAGTCATAGCTGTGACTATGGTGGAAGGAACAGTGTGTCCTCTGAAAGGTCTGTGCACCTTAGTGATTATGACGGAGAGTGGGAAGGCAGGGCAAAGGCCGTCATCATCCCCCCTCCCTTTCACCTGTCCCTCTCTTCTTTCTGCAGGTGTCTCCACACCTTCCTACCTGCATACCTTTGCTTGGGTAGTTTTCTCTGCCTATGACGCTGTTGATCTTGAAACATTCTGGACATCCTTCAAGAAAGCTCAGATGTCTCATTCCTGGAGAGGCCTTCTGTGTCACCCAATTCATAATAAGTCCTCTTTCTGGGCCTCTCACAGTGTCTTGCCCATGTCTTAGCACACCATTGTATTCCCTGAGCTTCAAACGGTGCTTGGTTGCAAAGGGAAATGCTTGTAGAGAGGATGAGCTGCCACCTCGGGTTTCCGCCGTCCCATGTCCGGCCCAGTGAGCCGTAGGCAGGAAACGGACAGATTACCTGCAGGTGCCGCAGACTTCACACTAGTTGTCTGTGTAAGAGAAAGCTCATCTGGGCTCCCCTGGTGAGTTCTCCACTCCAGACATGACAACAGCAGCTGAAAATTGTCAAGTCAGGATTAGGCAGAGTTTTAGGAAAATGAAAAGAGAGCTTATAAGCTGAAAAGATTTGTATTTTCACCCATGACAATGTTTCAGAATGTCTTGAGAAAACCAAATTTAAGTATTTGAGACCATTTATGAAGAAGGAAACAAAACCAACCATATTCCACCAACACAGGAATAGCAACTATTCACAACTTCATGTATTTCTTTTCAGTATTTGTAGTATGTATATAATTTCCCCCATAAGTCAAGATCATGTTGTATGTATTGTTTTATGGTCTGGATTTTCCACTTATCATTAATATTTTCCAGGTCATTTTCCTTTAATTCTAAGATTTGTAATGCTGCCTAGAAATCCATGATAAAAATGGACTATAATTTATTTTACCTAAACACAACTATTGGACCTTCAGAATGTTTTGAATCTTTTTACTGCTACTTTAGCACTGCAGGTTACCATCGTTAAGCAACAGATGACTGTATTACAATGTCCTAAAAGCTCTGTAAATGGTTGTTTTTTTTTATTTTGGCTTATGTATGATTGTTTAAGATAAGTTTCTATAAGTGGATTTAGGGAAGATATGTACATTTCAGGTATGTATAGCCCATTTGTATTTATTCTTTTGGGAACTCTGTATTCTTTGTCATTTTCTTTCTATTGGGATGCGTCAGTTTTCCTTAGTTAATTTGTAAAGGCCTTTTGTACTAAGACTTTTTCAACATTTATTTTGCAATAAATAATATCTCTCATTAAGAGAACTGCTCTTAGAACTACTTGTCCTCCAGGAGGGAAGGGCGAGCCCTGTGCTAACGGTGGTGATGTGGTTTGGAGAAGGCTGGTCATAGAGTCTCAACAACAGATGATGAAAAGAAACTCTGCAGCACATACGGACCTAAGCCCTGTGCTTTCCTCAGTGGAGACGCCCACCTCTGCCTTACTGGTCTAAGATCCAGCCCAGTGCTTCTAAGCTCTGCCTTTCTAAAACGACTACGGCACCAATGCCCAGAAAGATGTTAGCAAGCCTCGTCCAAAAAAGCCAATTAGCAAAAATTGCTTTTGTCTTTCGTAGTGCAGCGGAAAGCAAAAGAAAAAGAAGCACGTTCTCTGGAACAGGAGCATATAAATGAAAGTCTTAAAGAGCTTAGCCGTGAAGAGAAGGAGAGTTTTGAAAGGTATGTCTTTGTTTTATTATTATTATTTACTACCTAAAGAAGAAAAAAGGAGGTTTTTGGCACAGAGGACAATGTGCTGTAATCCCTGCGTTACTGATATTATGTTACATCAGCACGGTTATGCGCTACGTGGCCTTTCCACCAACCCCAGACCGCATGTGCGTTGGTGGTCCCGTGAGACTACAACCGGGCTGAAAGATCCCCGTCGCCTCGTGATGTCACAGCTGTGCTAACGTGGTAGCACAGCTCATCGCTCGCGGGGGTTTGTGGTGATGCTGGCATAAACAGATCTACTGCGCCGGCAGCTGGATAAAGATACTGTCTTCTTTGTTTTTACTGCTGCTTTTCTACATTTAGGTGTGTTTGATATGCAAACACCAGGCTCGTAGCCCACGTACGTGGTAGGCTTCACCACCTAGGTTTGTATAGGTGCACTCTGTGACCTCACGGCAATGAAATCAGCTAACCACACGTCTCGTACGTCCCCGCTGTTAGGTGACACGTGACTGCATTACATTCGTCCTCACAGCTCAAAGCAGTTCACAGAATTTCATCTTAAAATACATACTGTCTTGATGAATTTAAATTCTTTTGCTATTGTGTACATTCTGATTATACACATTGGGTATCAAAGTGGATGAACATCTTAAAAAATAATGTAAATTAGAAGCAAGCTTTTTAAAAAATTTTTAATTTTATTTTAGAGAGAGGGGAAGGGAAGGAGAAAGGGAGGCAGAGATGCATCATTTAATTGCCTTCTGCCAGGGCCCCGGTGGCACAGAGCACAGAGCCTGCAACCCAGATGTGTGCCCTGACTGGTGCCATTTCGGTTTGCAGGATGATGCCCAACTGAGCCACACCGGTCAGGGCAGAAACAAGGTACCCAACCCAAGTCCTAATGAAATAACAAGACAGTCCCACCATCCCCACCCCCTAGCCCCATGACAAAAGCCCTGAAAATAGCATCTGCCACAGAGACACATACATTCTATAATATTTATTTCTAATAAAAACTATTTAAAGCATGGCTTATAGCCCTGGCTGGTGTGGTTCAGTGGATTGAGTGCCAGCCTGGGAACCGAAGGGTGGCTGGTTCGATTGCCAGCCAGGGCACATGCCTGGGTTGTGGGCCAGGTCCCCAGTATATATGAGAGAGGCACACAAGATGCAACTACACATTGATATTTTTCTCCCTCTTAACGCTGCCTAAAAATAAATAAATAAATAAATAAAATCTTAAAAAAATAAAAATAAAAATGTGGTTTATAGATTATAAAATGGTACAGATGCTGTGGATAACAGTATGAAATTTCCTCAAAAAATTAGTAATAGCATTATCATATTGGTGATGTAAGGAATGGTCAAACCTGTAGAAAGTTTGCGTAAGAGTTTATTTGAGCCAAAACTGATGACAGTTGCCTGGAAGCAAGATCGCAAACGCAAATGACAGTTTCACAGTTTCTTTTACACATTTGGAATAAACTAGGGAAGGTAAGGAAGATTACCTGAGGGTGGGAGAAAGCAAGGATTATAGGCAGTTAACAAGATTACCTGCTTTCTTGAGGGTGGTTATGCTCATTTCGGAGGTGTGTTAACCTGTATGCTTGGGGCGTGACTACTCATTTAGGAGTTCATGGTCAGGTCGTCCTGTGCAGTCACTCTCCACAGAACTCCTTTTTCGTCCACCGTGTGATCCAGCAGTCTCACCTCTGGTATATATCCAAAATAATGAGAAGCAAGAACTTGAAGAAATGTTTGCATGGCCGTGTTCATAGCACCATTCACAGTAGCCAAGAGGTGGAAATAGCCCAAATGTCCGTCAGCAGATACATGGATAAAATGTGGCATATGTATACCATGGAGTATTTTTATGCTGTAAAAAGGAAGGAAATTCTGACCCTTTAACATGGATGAACCTGGAGGACATTGTGCCAAATGGAATAAGCCAGTCACCAAATTATAAGTTCTAGTTACATAAGATATCTAGAATAGTCAAATTCATAGAGACAGCAGGTAGCATGATGGTTACCAGGGGCTGGGGATGGCGGGGAAAGGTGAGTTTTTATTGTTTGGTGGGTATAGAGTTTCAGATTTGTAAGATGAAAAAGTCCTAGAGATCTATTTCGCAACAATGTGAATATCCTCGTACTTAACACTGTTGAACTGTACACTTAAAAATGGCTAAGCTGGTAAATTTTACATTATGTGTTTTTTACTACAATAAAAAAATTACAGTATAAATTTTAAGATATGGCATACATTTAAAATGTTGCTTATGTATGGAGGAAGTGGTCTGGTAACCCTGAGCAGAACGAGGCAGACCGACCCTTACTGTGCGTCCTCACCAGCAGCGTGAGACCACGGCCGCCCCTGGGCGGGCAGCAGAGTGCGGACCTGGGGGACCAGCCTGGGCCCCGGTCCCCAGCCCTGGGAGAGGGGTGGGAGGGAGGGGTGGGAGAGGGGTCCAGACTCTCCACATCACGGTAAATATTTTGAAATTTTCTTTGCCTGAAATCAGTATTTTCTAAGATTATCTTACTATGTCTTATTGCGGAATGAACACATTATTGCGTTTGTCATCTATCTCTTCCCATTTGTACTGATTTTAATGGGAATTATAATTTGACTTCACCAATTATATTTGCATTGCAATGCCCTACATAAGCCCAAATGCTTACTTTCACAATTGTACTGCCTTGACTCTTGGACATTTCTGATCCCGTAGACGCGCCGGCTTGGCCCAGGAGTACCGGAAGCAGCTCGGGATGCAGATGTCCCACCAGCAGCAGGCCCGGGAGGCGGAGAAGGAGGAGGCGCGCCGCGAGGTGGAGGCCGGGGTGGCCGCAGACAGGCTCTGCCAGGGCAGGATCCAGGAGCTGCTGTGCGCCCACCGGGAGCAGCCCCGGAACGTGCACCCCCTGCGGAGGGCGTGCTCCGCTCGGTTTCCCCCATAGTTCCGTAGACGTCAGCTTTTTCTTCGGCCTTTCAGTGTTTTTCACTGCAGTGTGCTTGGTGTATGTTCCTCTGAACTCACAGATAAACTTGTATTTTTTTCTCTGTTTGCGTAATGATGCATAATTTCGTTCCTTTTTCAGATTTCACGGGCTTACAAATCTGAATGGTCTATTCCATGTCACGGTTATTTCCTAACTTGCACCGATGGCTCCATTCTTGCTCATTTACTGAGAGCTACACTTTCTGTCTCCTGTCTGCCCATATGCCGCCCTCCTCTTGCCTCCTTTCTCTCCTCTCTCACAAACATAACTCACCGTCCTAGCAGGGCATTTCTGCGGGCAGAGCTGGGATGATCAGCCGCTCTCATGAACCCTCTTTTTCCGTCATTAAACAAACATTGGCTGAGTGCCTCCCATGTGCCAGGTACGATTCTAGGTCTGAGACTTCAGCGAGAAGAAAACAAACCCCTTGCTCTCGTGGAGCTAACATCCCAGTGCAGGAAGCCGAGAGACAGTGCTGTAAAGCAGGAAATGGCAGGGGTGTGATTCATGTTATGTGGATGGCCAGGAAAGCTCTCTTTGAGCAGCTGACACTTCAGTGAACTGGTCATGTAGTTATCTGGGGGGAAGCCATCCCAGGCAAAGGGCCTGTGCAGGGGCACTGGGGCGGAGGTCTGCTTAGTGCCCTTGAGGGGTGGCATCCGCGCTGGAGCAGAGGGAGCGAGGGGAGAGTGGTGGGTGGGTGCATCAGGAAGGCAGTGAGACCAGAGGGCGTATGGCCGTGGAGCCATGGCGAAGACTGGCTTTTACTTGGCAATAGGAAGCTGTTAGAGGGTTTTTCTTTTATAAGATTTTGTTTATTTTTAGAGAGAGGGGAAGGGAGGGAGAAAGAGAGGGAGAGAAACATCAGTGTGTGCTTGCCTCTCGCTGTTACAGGGTTTTGAAGGAGGAGCAACTTGGTGTGATGTGAGAGGCTTTCTGGCTGCTGTGCTGAGAATGGACTTCAGGGAGACAGAAACGGGGATTCGATTAGGAAGCGATCACAGTAACCCAGATGAGGGTGATGGTGGTGTGGTAGTAAGCCCCCAAGACAGCCCCTGATGATCCTCTCCTCCTGTGTTCCTGCCTTGTGTGGCCCCCCGGCCACCCTGAGTCATACCTTCCCCGCGTGACCAATACGATATCCTGCAGAAGTGACAGGTATAACTCTAAGTCTAGGTCATAAAAGACACTGCAGCTTCCGTCTTCGTCTCTCGGATCCCTCCCTCTGAGGGAAGCCAGCTGGCTGCCACGTGCATGGATAGGATGTTTGAAGCCCTCCTGAGAGCCCGCGGTGGGTAGGGGACACTGAAGTCTCCCCAGAAGGCTCCACAGGCTCCCCAAGGCCATGGGAGTGAGCCACCCGGGAAGGAGACCCTTCGCCTCCGCACCACCTGAACTTTCCGATGAGTGTTTCCCTGGTTGGCATCTTGAACGGTCAGGCAAGCTTTTCCCAAAATTCCGACCCCAGAAACAGAAAGAAATAGTAAATGGTTATTGGGTTTCTCAGCCACTGAGGTTTGGGGAATCGTGTTAGACACTGCAGTAGATAACTCGTGCACGCACACATCCTGGATGAGGGTGGAGTCTGGGGCACGGTGAGAGAGCTCGCGCTACGGCTGCGTTTTGGAGGCCGCTGGCTGGCTGGATTTGGTGGTGGGTGGGTGTGTGGGAGGTAGAGCCGGAGAGTGGAACACGGCCTCCCCTGTTGGTCTGGGCAGCAGCAGCGTAAACCGTGCTTGTGGCGGGGACGGTGGACACACCCCTTTTCCTTTTCTTGCTGGTGTCTTTTGAAGAGCAGAAGTTTTAAATTTTGATAAAGTCTCTTTTTTTTCCCTTTTATGGATCATGTGTTTGGTGACATATCTAAAATCTTTGTGTAACCCAAGGTCACAGACATCTTTCTGTTTTCTTCTAGAAGTTTCAGAGTTTCATCTTTAACACTGAACCCTATGTTCTATTTTGAGCTTTTTTTTTTTTTTTCGCAGGGTGGGGGATAGTGTGAGATAATGGTCTGAGTTCATTTTTTCTCTTTCTTTGTGCATGTGGATGGCTGGTGCATCAGCACAGTTTACTGAGAGGCTGTCTTGTGGGCAGCTTCATCTGTCTGCTTACTGTGGGTCATTCATTCAGGGGTCAGTGGTTTTGCTTCCACTTCCGTGCTGGGATTACATTAGCCTCTTCCCCTAGCCGGTGGTAATCCTACCTGCTGCCTAAAATGCTAACCCTGTTTGGTGGGGGATTTAGGCCTGGGAATCTTGGGCACTCCATAAAATATGTACATTTACTGTAGAAATGCACATGCTCATATTCCTGACATTCAACATTCTAATTCCTTTCACTTCTCTGAGTTTCCTCCCAGGGAATTCGCTCAGGGACATTCATATGGAAATTTACCTGTATGTGGTAAAACATCTTTATGTTGCTCCACAGACCATGCTCACAAAGTATAAGGGCTACACAGTGGTCTCCTGAGTTAGCCTGCTGTGGTTTGTTAAACATTGGACTTTGTTTCGCATGTGTCACTACTATCAGTTACACTGTAACAACAATATTCATTTGAGTTATGTATTTCCTTAGGTCCACTTAATTCCTTGGAATGGGGTTTCTGGGTTAAAGGGAATGAACATTTTTATACTTTGCTTTCAAGCACCACATTTGCAAAAGCAGTTTTTAGAGATGTAGACTTTTATTTTTTTAAGATTTTATTTATTTATTTTTAGAGAGGGAAGGGAGGGAGAAAGAGAGAAAGAGAGAAACATCAATGTGCGGTTGCTGGGGGCCGTGGCCTGCAACCCAGGCATGTGCCCTGGCTGGGAATCGAACCTGCGATGCTTTGGTTCGCAGCTCGCAAACCAAATCCACTGAGCTACGCTAGCCAGAGCAAGATGTAGACTTTTTAGAGAAACGTTTTCAGGGCCACTTGGTATTCTCTCTGAAGATTTAAAATTTATTTAAGCAAATTGTCAACTAGACTCTGAAAGGTTTTTTGTTTGTTTGTTTGTTTGTTTGTTTGTTTTAAAAATCTTCCTACCCATTCATCCACTTTTATCTGATCTCTGTGAATCTATTTCCTCCAATGGATTCTTTCAAGTCTGCTGTGACCAAAGTTAATGTCCAACACCAAAGTGTGGGCATCCTGACAAAAAAGAAAAATACTGTCCTTTAAGTTTTGTGGAAAATTAAGGTGCTTTATTTCTGGGCACTCTATTCTATTGATTTATTTGTTTATCCTTACACCAGCACAACAGTGTAGTGCTTAAGTAGCCCTTTAGTAAACTTTGCAATTGGTGGTGTCAATCATTCAATAGTGTTTTGTTTTGTTTTTTTTCAGAATTGTTTTGTCTGTTCTAGATGAAATGTGCATATCCTACTGTCCACATTCGGGTCCCCTTATCAGTTTCCAGCCGCATGGAAGGAGCAGTGGCGCCTGGCATGTGCGCTCTTTATGTCCTCTCCTTGCTCTCTCCTGTCTCTGTGCTCTCTTCTGGTTCTCTCTGCTTTTTGCATTCAGTAAATGACACAAAATACCGTTTATACCGGTGGCATTCACAATAGCTCCAAACTGGAAAAGTCCAAGTGCCCGTCCAGAATGGGGTGGGAAACGGTACACACGGCGAGAACGAGTGCCCAGCACTGCGTGCAGCCGCGTGGGTGAGCCTCAGACACCCGGCGCTGAGCAGAGCAGAGGGAGTCAGACATAGAACAACATGCACTGTGGGGTTCCGCTTACAGGAAACTCGAAAGCAGCAAAGCAGATTCTTAGTGTTAGAAATCAGGTGACTACCCTCTTGGGGAGAGGGACTGGAGGGGAACTTCTCGGTGTTTATGTTCTGTTTCTTGATTTGGGTGGTGGTTACTCAGTGTGTTCACCTTGAGAAAACTCTTCAAGGTGTATATTTAAGGTTTGTGCACTTTTGTGTGTGTGTGTACTTCCATTGAGAGGTGGTGTTTTTTTTTTTTTTTTTTTAATCAGCCTTCCTGAAATAGCTACCATTGGTCATGGCTGCACAGACTAAATCCAGTGTCTGAAGGCCATTGTCAGGTCTCTTCATTTATTCTTCAGGGACACCTCCCAGGTGTCTGTCTGCTCCGGGCTGTCCTTTATTAGCTTGCCCTCTAGTGGTCACACTTCATTTTTCCAAGTTGGTATTAAAGCAGGATGCTCAGGACTGTGTCCCTGCAGTCCAGAAGGGGTCCGCAGAGCAGACTGCAGCGTGACCACACCTCCTTTAATCAGTGCATCGCCCTCCATCTGACGCAACCCACAGCTGAGTGCCCACCTTCCAGTCCCACCTGGAAAATGCAGGTGCAGCTGCCTTCTCCTTGGCAGGCCCCACCGCTCTGTTACAAAGAAGATGATGAGAAGCTATGTTTAACACTACTCAACAGGACAAAGAATTTCCACTAATTTTATCACTTTCCATCTGCTCATAAATTACCAATATGCTAACTACTGCTGACTCTGCCTAGTTCCCAAGGAAAACCTGTGGTCTCAAGGCCTCCAGGCAACACCGCTTGGCTGACAGTTAATTCGAATTACTGTGCACTCTCCTGCACAGCACCATATCCTGAGTCACTGCGACCTTCCTCTGTTTCAGACCGGCCTTCCTCCCTCTTTCAGTTCTAGTTAGAAAGACCAGTAATGAAGACTGAACTTGACATAGAGCGTACTCGGCACTAGCTATCACCCTACCGCTTTTCACCTGTGTTTACTCATTTATTTAAGCCTCACGCCTTAATCTTCTCTTTGAGGGGCGTGCTATTATTATCATACCCGTTCCACAGCTGAGGGCATTGAGACATGGCAGGTTGAGAACTTTTCAAAACCACCAGGTTAGGGTGGTACAATAAACATTTTGTCTTTGTTCCCAGTTCCTGGCGCAGGGCCCCTAACATACATGGAATTTCCCCAGTGGCAGGAGTGCCCTTTGTTCTTAAGAACCCTGGTTGACCACACCTGGTCTTGTGCTAATGTGGTGACTTAGGATGGGGCCCTTGCATAGCAGCAGGGTGGAGCTGGTCGCCCCAAAGACCGAGTGATTAGAGGACTGGAACTTTCAGCCT